AAACATCTGCCAGGTTGTTAATGGAACCCAACCGACCCTTGCTTCCCAGTCAAGCAAGAACGCAGATGGGGTAATGGAGTACGGAGATTCAATGCCTCTCTGGCAGGTGCATCCAGCATCGAGAATGCACTTCCAGCAGCTATTAATTGAGCCCTTTCAGCGTCTTGAGCCCCTGTCTCCTCCCAAGCCCTCTGCGCCATTGTACTGGGATCGTGGCGGCGCCTCGGCCGTTGATTCGCCCGAACAGCACGCAATTCGTCCCGCCCGCTCCCCAGCCTCCAGGGTCCAGTGCTCAACTTTTGCGGTGCTTTCCGTGGCCAGGTCGATATCCGTAAAGACTTTCCGACTTCACTCCTTCAGCAACCGATATCGCTGACATCCTCGGTATCCGCGCCGGAGAAGGACACGGTTTCGCTCGTCATCCTACTTGACGAGTTACCCTCTTGCGACAATCAGTAGCCGAGCTGTTCAACGCCATCGGTAGCCGAGTCCGTCGTGCGACGTCCCCGCACCATTCCCACGAGCACGCGATCTGTCCTCCGCAAGTTCGCGTTTCTCAACACTCTCCCAAAACATTGTCGCGCATTGTGCAAGATGTCCCAATCCAATGCGCCAGCCGCCGCTGGTGCTCGCCCTGCCACCCAGCAGCAAGAACAAGGCGTAAGTATATTGCCCTCCACCCACCGCCCACCGCGCTTCGCACCAAGAGACCTCAACTGACATAGCGATTGTGCAGGGCATAAGCTTGATGCAAAAGCTGCTGCTTGGAGGATCGTTGTACTTTGGCATGAACATGCTCATGAACAACATGTTCCAGAAGACGCAGTCCGGTACCCAGGTGAAGGATTCTGACGGCAAGGTCATCAACGTACCCGCGAATACCGAGGACATCCCGCCGTACCTGCTCCGCCCCAAGGAATTGGACGAGGGGGCGACTTGGAGCCAGATCCCGCGCAAGCTGGCACCGATATGGCCCATGGATAGCTACATCGACGTAACTGTCACCCTGTCCGACACCTTTGTTCCGATCCCGTTGTCACAAACGCCCCCGGAAAAGGTTGTTCTGAAGGAAGAGAAATTCAAGATTGGCAACTACAGCGAAAAACGCTCCATCGATACCACCATCGACGTGCCACCCTCTGTGCAGAACAACGGCACTCTTTGGGGACACTTCTACGTCTCACTCCCCGGAAGCCAGCCTGATCCTCATGTGGAGACCTACGACCCAGCTTCTGCCTACTACTTTGCATTCCCTCTCACCCAGTACATCCCCAAGAAGAAGGAGTTCAAGACCAGATCGCTCCTGGAGGGCAAGGCCGAGCAGGAGGTGGAAGAAGTGGCCGAGGAGCAGGACAGCGGTCCCATCATTGCCAGCTACTACCACCCGAATGCCAGCTTCTCCATCATTCCCAACACTGGAGTGCTCGACTACCGCCAGACCCATCCCGCGATTCGCCAGTTCCTCCACATTGAGCCGACTGGTGCCAGAGATGGCTCCGGTCAGCATTCGTGGTATTGTAAGTGACCCTCCATGTTATTATTGAAGGTAAATCTAATTATTATAGACCCTATCCTGTTTGTCAACACCTTTTGGCAGCTCAAGAGTCAAATGATCCTACTCAACGACACAGTGACGTCTGTTCCTCTGCACATTGACCTGAACAACATGCGTTCGTGGCAATTCAACACCATGGCCGCGATTGAGGCCAGTGCGAAGGAGTCGGCACGTCAGGCTGCTTACGGGGGATCTCTACCCGGTGGCGGTGACGGCTCTGAGATTGAGATGGTCAAGGAAATATTTGGTGACACGAACCCGATTCTCCTCGGTATTACCATCATTGTCAGCATTGCGCACATGATCCTGGAGACGCTCGCCTTCGGTTCCGATATTGCGCACTACCGCAAGAAGAAGGATAATGTCGGTATTTCGGTTCGTTCCATCCTGGCGAACGTGTTCATGCAGTCCGTCATTCTGCTTTACCTCATCGACAACTCGCAAAATACCAGCTGGATGATTCTAGGTGGCCAGGGAATTGGTATTGTCATTGAGCTATGGAAGATTACCACCATTGTCAATGTTGCAATCAAGGCTGCACCACCAGGCTCATGGCTGCCATTTGCCATCGTCGTCGAGGACAAGCACAAGCTCAGTGAGACGGAGGAAAAGACCAAGGAGTACGATGAGATTGCCTTCAAGTACATGTACATCGCTGGTGTGCCTCTGCTCATCGGCTACGCCATATACTCGCTGGTATATGAGACGCACAAGTCTTGGTACTCGTACATCATCGCCACACTTGTCGGGTCGGTTTATGCTTATGGCTTCCTCATGATGGTTCCTTCGCTCTATATCAACTACCGGCTCAAGAGCGTTGCCCACATGCCTGGCAAGGCCATGATCTACAAGTTCCTCAACACATTCATCGACGATCTATTCGCATTCACCATCAAAATGCCATTCCTCCACCGCCTGTCCACTTTCCGTGACGACATCATCTTCTTCATCTACCTCTACCAACGCTGGGCGTACAGAATCGACTACACTCGTGTCAACGAGTACGGCCAGGGTGGCGAGGATGAAGAAGAGGATGGCGCTGCCAAGGCCAAGGCCAAGGAGCTGCTCGAGAGCGATCCCACTGTCGAGAAGGTGAAGCAATTGACGGTTAAAGCCACGGGGGCTGACAGCGGCAAGGCAAAGAAGAGAAAGTAAACACCATACATGCTGCACGGCAGAGGAAGAGAGTGTGGCCAACATCGTGTACATCAGACCTGGGTCCAGGCATCAGGCAGGAGATCTTGGCGACTATGTGATAAGGGACATGTAGCCGTCTCACATAGCTACCTTAATCGAGAACATACGTCTACGGACGCAATCAAGTCCAGTCTCGTCGCAAGTCACATATCTCGCGCATGGTGCATCTCAGCTGCAGAAGCATAACTACCATATGCACGCTTGGACAAACGACGAGACGACTAAGAAAGTGTTGAGGAAAAGCAACAATATAGGTAATGTTCAGCTGATTCGGCTGAAAAGGGGGCTCCGCATGTCTGTGTACAGGGAGATCGGACAATCCAATCAATCTCTAGGCAGAAAATCTCCAACAGATACATTAGTATAATATCCCACCGGACAGGTCGGTTATTGCCTAGGTAATAGAATTGCTCCCTTCATGGCATGAAAACTCTCATGAACGTCGCTTCGCGGCTAAAGATGCCGTGGAGAGACGCGACAGTCCCCCTACCAAGCAGGGACCCCAGCAGAAGAGTCGCTTGCCGGGGGCTCGCAGCTATCGGAGCCCCGTGCCTGGTAGGGCAGAGACAAGCTCGTATGTCGCCGCGCCTATCAGAGTGTCCCGTTGCGGAACCTGGAAGGTGATGACGCCAGGTCCCCTCCAACGGTGGTGTTTTGGTGCTAGGACGTGCCAGCTCCACGTTCTGCTTGCTCTTGTTCTTCACCCAAGGTACCGCGGTAATTAAGCACGTTTAGGCAAGGTCAGCACGCAAGGTACCTAGGTATCCGGAGCTCCTCCCACTGCTCCCCCTACCTTACTTATGGACCATGGAGACCTTTTAGTGTCGGTCTTTCGTCAACAGGTGGAGTATTGCGGGATCTGTATACCGGAAATAGTTCAGAGTGATTGCCGCCGTTCCTGAGCAGTGAGAAATGGCTCTTGGCCTCTCCTTGAACTCGGTTGATCGGGTCTTACCCACGCAATGGAGAATTTGAATGGAATGGAGACGAGGCGAGCGCATAGTGTCTATTTGCTAAAATGAACGTGGTTTGGTGGTGGTTTCATGGAAGATGAATGATTTGAAGGGAAGGGGGACGGGGGGGGCGGATGGTGTTTTTTTGGTAAAATAAAGGGGGTTTGGGGGGGTTTTCATGGAAGAGGAATGGGTTGGGGAAGGAAAAAAGCCCCCCCCCCCCCCCTAGCCCTTTGGGCCCCCAGTTGGGACCTACAAAATGTCATCGACAATACGAAGAATTCAAGTTGCCCAAAGCAGTCATGGCTGACCTGAACATCCACTCTCAGAGGCACCTCAAAACCTAAAGTTCCCTCGACTCTCTCTGTCTTTGACAGCCGCAGAGGAGGATTGGATCCAGTCCGTTCCATCGGCCAGCCAGGTGGTTGACCAAACGCACCAGGACCGACCAGGGAAAAATAACAACCGAACGCAATCTTTCTCAAACTCCCCAGTCTCATTCTGAACTCTGTGTCTCCGTCTCGTACCTTTTATTTTCCCTAAACCTTTCCTTCCACATACCTACCTACACTTCCCTTCCTTCACCATCTTGTCGGTCCCTCTGTTTGCCACATGCCCGGGTTCCCCCGTCCATCACTCCAAGTTCGTCCCATGCGTCCGCTCCGGTCATGACATACGGACGGCCGCATAGGGTTCTCCAGCAACCACCTCAGGAAATTTACTTTGAAGCCCGCCTAGCACGTATCAGAGAGCGAGAGCACAAGCACAGGCACACAGGCACAGGCAGAGGTCGCCGAACCACAGCGAACGCACCCGCCAAGCAGAGCTCCGGACCGTCCGTTCAATCGACGGGGATTCGAGGTCCACGCTGCGTCGTACGCAGTGGAGTTCCACAACACGTACCTGACGTTTCTCATCATCCCAAATAGGGTCATCCCCGGCACCCCGTCGCTTCAAGGGGAGGGAGCCAACGCCTACTCTAGGGGAAACGTAACCTACAAAACCTGTTGGGAAGGTGTGGCCGTGCCGCCCGCGTGCCTGCGCCCGCCGTCCGTCATTCACAACGCTGTCCCCTGATCCCCCGGTCGGGATATTTTACCCCCCAAAGGGCCCAAAGCCAAAGGGGGCGCTCAACGCCCATTTATCATTGGGGCGCGCGCCGCACCGCACCGCGGCAAACCGACTACCCCTCGATCCCATTGTCGTGTGTCGACCGCCGAGAAACACTCTCCTGATCCCCTCGACGATTCCTTCGAAAAGGAAGCTTTCGAGGGAAACGTAGGGCTTGCCGAATCATGAGCAGCCCTACCGTCGGGTCCCTTCTGGCTGCCATTGCGACACTCGTCAGTGATGGCCTGCGTATCTTAAGGTTCGCCGATAAGCGCCAATGGGGACCTGACGAGCACGAACAATTGCGCCTGCTGGAGGATACCCTCAACGATGCCAAGAAGGACTTCCAGGAGCTCTCTGTGCTCGTCAACGGACAGCGCTATTATATGAACGACCGCAAACGTGAGTCCACAAGCGCACTTACACCGTTTTCCATTGCTCTGCGCTTCCGAGGAAGCTTGATCGAGGCTCTACAGACCCCCGCGGTATAGCGGAGGGAGGCCTCTGCGATTGTCAGCCGCCTCCCCGCCAAATCTCGCTTCATGCTAGCTCGCGTCACGCACAACTAACCACGAATCCTTGCTAACTGTTTGTACTGAAGCTCCGTCAATTGCCGAATTACGAGCTTTACAGTCCAAAATCGAGCATCATATCGAGAACTTCAAAGACTGGGCGAGGACAGGCGGGCCAATCAACCCAGTATGGGCAAGAGAAACGACGCAACTGCGCCGCGAGCTGCACCGCGCACAATGCCGAGCGGCTGGGAGGATATTTGCGGCAGAGCAAGAGGCCTCAGCAAGGTGTCTGGGCGCCTTTCTCGTTCACAGAAAACAGCGTGAATGGCAGAACCAACCTGCTACCTCCGAGGAGGAGCACCACCGACGACACGTGGAAGAGGTAGTGGCATGCAACACGACTGGCAAATTCGAACGGTTTGGTGATGGAGGTATTGCATTCGTGTGCGACTTTTGCGATGGCCATCTGGTGTGGGAAGACCTGGAGAGCATGCCATCATTACGCACGGCCGAGGAATCCAGCACGCGCCCAGTACCGCCCATTTCACCGACAACCCAGATGCCACACTGGCAGGCGACCGGCTTCACAGCAGGCAAGCGACGAGAGGAGAAGACGGTCGTTTTTGCGCCTCTGGCGATAGCGAACCACATGGCACCGTATCAGGGAGACTGGGTAGCCCGACTCCTATGCCCTTTTTGCGACGAGGCGCCGTATACCGAGGCAGGCGGGGACAGCGACGACGAGATGCGGAATGCCCAGGACGAGTCCGGATTTGATGATCTGCAGGCCTTCCAAGAACACTTGGAGTGGGAACATACGGTGGCGTCGATACCCGCTGTCCCCTTGCCCAAGGCAGCCAAGGATTGCTTGGTGATGTGACACCATTAATTCGAAAATGATGTTTATTGGTGGCGGTTCATTCATGTACATATATTCAAAGCGCGTGGTCTTATCAATGGCGAGGCGTTGGGGGCTTCCACAGGGGGCGGATATTGTTCTTCCGTACCTACGACGCATGGAATTATCATTTTATTCGACGACAGACGGCTATTTTATGAGAGCTGAGATTGCCCTCATCACTAGCAAGACTAGATTCATGCAGCAACAGAGATACCACAGTCAGGTAGTGCTAGATCGCATTCCACAATAAGACTCGAAACCCAATTCTTTGGTTTGTTGCTCCTCTCCGTCTTCTCCTGCGCCCGCCTGAGAAGTCCGTACCGTAATTTGATTGATATACATGAACTGAGAGAGATGTACACTCGCCAATATAATAACGCCCATTGCCGTGGAACCTCTGCCCACCCCAGGGCGAAGGCTCCCCCAAGAGGGTCCGTCCCTTGTCCCCCACGCACCGCCAAAGAGATCGACCCTCTCAGAAGAAACGCCACCAAAAGAAGACGATAACGATGAAACCCAGCGCGCCCAGCGGGCCGTACTGCTTCAGCAGCAGTTCCCAGTTGATCCTGACAGCGGCGCGCCTGTACTTCTTGCTGTCGTCGCGCAGGCGGGAGCTCAGCTCGCCCATGCGCTCGAGGGAGTCGCCGCGGTAGAGCAGGTCCTCAATATTCTTGGTCATGACCTTGGTGACATCGCGCAGCTCGTCGTTGAGCTTGTCGAGGTTTTGGGAGGCGCGGGCGTCCGAGTAGGTGGACTTTGTGCGGGAGATGAAGGTGTCGAACTCCATGAAGGCGTAGGGGCGGAGGGAGGGAGAGTGCAGCTGGGAGACTTGGTAGGTTGTTGTGAATTCGCGGGCGAGGTCGGAGAGGTAGGTGAAGGCCAGCTTGCGGGGGTAGGATTTGTCTGTTATGCAGATGAAGGTGATGTCCGAGTCCATAAAGTAGCTGGTTTCGCAGAGCAAAGGTTAGCAAAAACGATCGGATTTCCTCTTGTCTCTTTTCTCTCTTTTCTATTGGGTTTTCGGTCGGTGTATAGGGGAAGGGGGTGGTGGACGGACTTTAGGTTGTAGGCGCCGCTTTCGATGCTCGCTTGGGGTTCCGAGTTGCGGGTGAGCTTTCGCAGGACTTGCTTGATTTGCGACTTGACTTCGGAGACGGCTGCTTCTTGTTGCTCGTCGTCGACGGAGGCGCAGAGCATGAGGCCTAGGAGCTGCGGTGTTAGTTGAGGGGGGCTTTTTGTATGGGACATGCCCGGGATGAGAGAGAGAGAGAGAGAGCGCGCGCGTACCGTCGAGCCTTGCTATTTGAGTTGAGCGAATCATTGTGTCTTGTGGTTTTGTGTGGCGTCTCGGGAGGAAAACGTATGAAGTCGAGGTGGTGAGGGCGATTGTTGCTCCTGGCCTCCTTTGTTGTCACTCGCAGAAAAGGTGGGTTATAGTAGCTATCGCCGGCTGGTTTGGTGTTGTATCGACGTGTCCTCTGAGACGGCTCGTTGCCAATCCCGAGTGTATCCGGATGCGCGAGCTGACAAGAGGTTGTATTTGAAAGTTAAGGTATCTCCGACTGGTTGATCAAGTCACGGGTACTGTGTTTAAGTATCCTCGAGGTGTTCGTTGTTGTGTCCCTTTTTCCGAGCCAGGGGTCGCTTTTTTGCTACCTAGCAAGTAAATCAAAACCCTCGATCGCCGTCGACAATAGGTCCTGTAGGGACGGGAGCTCTCCACATAATGGGGTTGAAGATGACACCATGGGTTGTCACCACTGGCCAATTGGGGGGCTTGCGCGGGAGTGTTACCCCTGCGTTTTGGTATGTGGCGCTCGTGGCTCGGGCCATCCCAGCCTTGTTTTACCCAGTGTGTTATCCGTACTTTATGGAGACCACCTCAATTCACTCAGAGCTCTGGTGAGTTCTTCAAACCACCTCACTCACTTACACATTTTTAGGGAGGTGTGGTGTGGGAGCGTAGGTTCGTTGAGACATTGCGCTGTACACCTATTCCGCGATTTTTTGTCAGGAACTACCTAATCCTTCTCATGAGACTCAAATGAATAGAACTTGGATGCCTCATTTGTTGGGTTGTTTGAAATTCCGTCTTTAATTTTGACTTAGAGTTCCGTTTGTAAGTTCTCGCTTTGTGTCTCTGGGAAAGAGCTATTTGAGCAAAGAAGGTCCTTCCTATCTTATACTGCCAATCTGGGACACGTACCTTCTAGATGCTACACATTCTCTAGCAAGGTTCTTTGAATTCCTTTAGCTAATTTCCGGTCCAGAACCCAACCCATGGACACTGTAAACGTGAACTGGCAAACGTCCTCCATTCGCCCCGCCACCCACCCATGATGGGAGTCGCATCACCAGATACAGAAATGGCAGACGCCTGCGTTCCCTGCTCCTCCTGTCCCTCCTCATCCTCTTCCTTCTCTGACCTCTCCCCTCCACCCTCGTACAGCTCAGACTACGAGAAACGCTCACAGAAGGCCAAGGAAAACCCCCCCTTAAAGACTGTCAACTCACTCGACGACTGGGACGATCTGGGATCACCACCCACCGGCGCACAATTGCCCAACATGACGCGACGTTCGGCGCGCAACTCGAACAAGCCCAAGCCCCTCATGCCTTCCCCACCGAGGGTGCTCAAGAGAAAGCCGCCTACCAGAGTTGTGCCCAAGAAGGTCCCGAAATGGACTACGCAGAAGCTCCTGACGGATCCAAAGTCGCCGCTCGCCAGCGCCGATTTACGAGTGAGTAAATCCAGCCGCAGCTTGAAAAGGATGATGTCACATCACTTCAGGCTTTCTCCATTCGACTCAAGTGCGCTAACCTACCGCCATCCTTCTAGGCGATGCTCTGCCAGCCAGCGGCGTGGGACATACTCACCAAAGGTGAGCGCGCCGAGATCGTCGGCCTCCTTCCCGTTGGCACGCGCATCCTCGACGCCGGCACCGACGACGCCCGTCCGGACTTTGATGCCCTTCGCAACGACAACAACTTCCGTCACGACTGTGCCACGTACGCCGACAACATTGCACTGGGGAAGCACGACCCGGAGTGGCTTGAGCAGGCGTGGGGCGCGCGCGAGCGGCGACGGGCGGGCGACTTTGACGGCTATGTTGCGCAAAAATTCGAGGATGAGTGGTCGTGCGAGTTGCCAGAGGGTTTCAGGCCGAACAGGAGTGGCGAAATGCCGGATTCCGCTGCGCTTGCGACAGTGAAGGAGGCCCCCGTCAAGCAGAAGGAGGAGTCCACAAACGAGGAGGAGGATGAGGTCATTGATCAGGCTCAGGCGGAGGGAAGTGTCATCAACCAGGCGGAGGAGATGAAACAGACGGCTACAGTTGAGGACGTCACAGCTACCGCGGACGCGAAGAATGACGTTGGCATGGCAAAGGTCATTGAGGCCGAGGACCTATCGGGTGTCAAGCTTGGGTCTCCTATTCCTGAAGACACCGTGTCGGTGAAGCTTGGTACGCCTACTCCCGAGATCTCCCCTGTAGATCTGGCGTCTGCTATGCCCGAATCCTCTCAGGTGCCGCTTGGATGCGTTGCTCCTGAGAACCCATGCCCAAAGACCGATCTTCACGGTTCAGGCTTACAGACAGAGAAGCGAAAAGAAAACGAACAGGCAATTATGGAAGGAGACGAACAAAAGCCCGTCCTCGAAGAGGATCTTCGTGCTGGCGACGTTCAAGAGGACGTGAGTGCGCCAGAGCAGCGACCATAAGGGCCGATTAAGGGTTCATTATGAAAGGATTTCCTCCAAATACAGCATCACGAATCATGATTCACGAGTAGGACCGGAATTGGGGCATATTGGGGATGATACCTATCTGTTGAGCGACGCAGGATCTTCTGGATTGTCGACTGGAGGGGGAAAGAGCGTTTCTTTGCAGAGACCCGATAGCCGCGGGATATGGAAACGCGACCCACGCAATTAAACCCCCAATTTCAAGAGTAGATCCATGATCGTGATGGAAGACTTGGTGTCGGCTTCGGTGAAAGTTGCTGTTGTTGACGCCCGATGGTAGTAGTCTCGGTCAGTGCCCCACATCACCGAGAAACCCAAAATAGAGTGGGCGAAAAGCGTCAACCACAGAAATCTTACGTTTGCAATCTTTACTTTCAGTCGTCTTACTGCCTGTTCCAAGCAGCCTACCCTTGCTGAGAAAACAGCAAGACCAGCCTATTTTCTCGAGACAAAATCAGAGTAACAAAAAAAATTCGCGGGACCAGACTTTGAGACTAAACATTGCTCAGCAGTCCCATCTCCCGAAAAGTCGCATTGCTTTTGGGGACCCCCTTCAGGATCAGCCACGATGGCCCCCTCGGCGGAAAACCACAGTCGGTCGCATAGCCTCTTGCTGTTCCAGAAGCTGCTCAATCTGAGGGACGGCGCGAGCCCTTTGACCTTGGTGCTGGACAGTCTTGAGCAGAGCGCAGCGCCAGTTCTACGGGAGTTCGTCTCTAGAGCCAAGGTACGCGCCGTTGATTACTACAGCTCTGTAGATAGAAACTATTGTACACCGGAGAAGAATGGGACTATTTAGATTATCCTTCTTCAGTTGTTTGCACTTGGAACGTTGGATATTAACGAATTATATAGGTTGCAAAGGCCAAGGTGATTCTGCTCTCCTTCGCGACGCTCAAGCGCCCGCGGAATGTGGACGTCGTCGTCAGAGCTCGCGGGAAGAACCTTAAGGCTCTGAGAGCAGAGATACTGTCACATTATCCAAAGATGGATCCCACGGCAGCCAAGGGTGCACCTTCATCTCAAAGTGAGTGGCCTCTTCTTTTTGGCCTCACCGTGACTCTCTGACTCACATCTCGACAGAAACAGTGGTGCTGCTCGACTCTCTCAACGAGCTCGCCACAGCGGCGCCGCAGATTCTGCCTAGCTTCCTCTCCAGCATCATCATGCCGACGGTGTCCTTAGTAGCGGTGTACCACACCGACGTACCCCTCGTCCTCCCGCGTACGGTGAGCGAGTACGAGCCTCACCCGCTGACCGTCCTCTCTCATCTGGCGACCTCCATCCTCAGGCTGTCTGGCTTGCGGCAGGAGATTGAGCGCCAGAAAGCGAGGAATAGGAGTCTGCAGGAACCCGAGTGGGGTCTGGGAGAGGGACGGGAGGGCGTCCTTGTCGGCCTCAAGGGCGATGTCAAATCGGAGGATTACCACGGTGTTGTAGTCGAGATGGAGGTCAGGAGGCGGAGCGGACGGGCCATGGCCGAGAAGTTTGTCATTCTACCTCTTCTGAATGGACAGGCTTCTTCCACTGCTTCTATTGCTGTTGCCAAGGGGTCGAGGATTTTCCTTCTTTCGGAGCACCCCGTGTTCGCTGCCCCGGAGGGTTCGGGCGAGGCAGATGCAGGGCACGAAGAGGATGAAGAGCCGGAAAGCACCTTCAATCTGGGTCTCACGGAGAAGCAGCGGCGGGACAGAGAAGGCATTGTTCTGCCTTATTTTGACGCCCAAACGGATATAGGGGCTGGTGAGGGTGGCAGGATCCTTTATGAGATGGGTAGAGAGGATGACTTCGATGACGAGGAGGATGAGATATAGGCGGCCTCAAAACACGCACTTATGACTACGAGACACACGCTTGCCGCGGGCAACATGAATAGTGAAATGCCTTGAAGGCATCTTGGACGTCGAATGTGAAGGGTGGTCGGTCACGAAGGGACTTTGGTGAGGTGGTGTCTAGGCACCGTACCTTCGGAGTATTGTCACTAGGCAGCCAACGTCAAGTGACTCACCCTCTCCCCGCATTGAGGCCAAAACATGAATCGGAAGAAGAAACGTACTGCCGCTGGCTCCCGTCGCAAGGCATCAAATATCAACCTACGAATCAAGAAATTCGGTCCTGCCCGTCGAATAATACGGCACTCATCAAGGTATTTCGAGTACGTACCTTACTGATTGTGGGCCGTCGCACAGGCCATCCCCAAAGACTCTATGAAGTCCTCCTCCCACCGCTGTTTTTCATCCTTTTGTCTCTTTTTCTCCTTAGCTCTTCTTTGCCTTTTGGCTTAGATCAAGTGTAGTATCTGTTCTTTTCAGTTTAATATCTGGAAGTCCCCCAATGGGGGACAATCAATATTATTCCTATTTTTGATCTTTTGGGCAGCGGTCCCTTCGGCTTGCCGTATACCGCTTCCCACCGTGTCCCTGGTATCACACTGCCTCCAGGCGACGCAAAATGCTGCGGTTTTTCATTGCTTGCTCTGGATTCTCCAGGGCAGTGAAGAAGAGATGCTAAATAAAGTTACTTGGGATGTTCCCACGTGATTTTGCCGGGGAAAAGGAGATACCGCCTCGGAGGACGATGGCAATCGCAGGCGAAGCAGGTCACGATGCTCAAGCTCGATAGTTGATGGTCTTGTATTTAGTTAGAGAGTGCTACCCGAATTACCACGCAGAACCCGCTAGAGATAATAGCTCCGCAATGGTCTCAGTGGACCAGCGTGTCTGACAACTGAGCTCCTGCAAGGCTCATGCGCTAAAGATTCGGGGGCGGAAAGCTTAAACTCTGCCCAATTAAGCACTTTCGAGGCCCTTACTGTTCGCGCCATGTTCCTTGAAGAGTGCTGTACCCAAATTTTTCTCTCAGCCTTACCGTGACGTTATTGCTCAAGCATTACTTCAAGGTACACACACCACACACACCGCGAAGCATTATCACCTCTCTCCGTCGCAAAATTTTGAAAACCACTCACAAAATGGGTCGCGGACGTGATAGCCGACAGGCCTGGGATGAACCTGACCGACGCAGTCGCCACGGCGGCGGCGGCGGCCCACGAGACCGCGAGAGCTACAGAGATCGCGACGGCAGACGAGACGACCGCGACAGGAAAGACGACGGTGGCAGGCGATACCGATCCAGATCCCGCGACCGTCGGGACAGAGATAACCGCCCCAGATCCAGAGACCGCGAGAGCCACCGTCCGCGCGACGATCGCGATGGCGGGAGGCCGCCGCGCAGAGACCGCGGTGGCTGGCAGGGCCGAGACGATAGGCGACGCAGAGACGATGATGAGCCGGCGGCGGACGAGCGGCCTCCAAGGCGACAGTTTGGAGACGAAGATGAGGGACAAAGTAAGTTCACGCTTGGTTTCGTTTGGCTGGTTTCGGCACCGGAGACTGACACTTGTGCAAGATACCCCACGCGACAGAGACCGCAGACGATCCGCCTCCCCTCGTCGGAGCGGCAGCCCGCCACCTCCCCGTCGCGAGCCGGGCGGATACACCGAATCTCTACCTACGCGAACAGTCCCGAGGGGAAAGAAGGAGCAGCACACCATGTCCTTCAAGGTCGGACGGCACGACTCGCCGCACGTCGACAGCGGGAGGGACAGCGAGCGTGGGGACACGCCGATGACGACGGGCCGGGGCGATCGAGAGGCAGATGAGGAAGGCGACGACGAACCTGAGCCCGAGGTCGAAGACGACGATATGGCGGCTATGCAGGCGATGCTAGGCTTTGGCGGGTTCGGCTCGACAAAGGGTCAGAAGATTGCGGGAAACAACGTCGGCACTGTGAGGAAGGAGAAGAAGACCGAGTATCGTCAGTATATGAACCGACAGGGCGGTTTCAACCGGCCCCTCAGTCCTGGGAGATGAGTTCCATCTCGCGAGCACGTTGAAGATTGGTTCTGGGGGTTCACGGTCCCTTGGAAAGCGGAGGTTTCGTCACGATGGGACGACAAAGCCTGACTTTGCCATGGACGGGCAGCACTAGGTACGCTTCACACTTGTATTGATTTTGAGATACCTATAGATGGACAAGAATGAAGAATATTCACATAGCAGAGTCCGTGTAGATATGCTTGCCTCATATCGACTTTGACCTGGCTCAGCCTGACGCAGTTGACGCGGGCGCGGGTGGTGTGGATTCCCTTGGCTTTCCTTCCTTTGCCTCGGCCTTGAGCTCGCTGTCGAAAATGTCGACAGCCAGACTCGCGTCCACAAAGTCCTCGAGCTCCTCCGTCACCGTCTTGAGCTTCTCCTTGACCGCTGTTGCACCCTCGAACCCGACAATGTGTCTCGCTGGCGGGTTCTCGTGGCCGCCTATGGCCGTCAGAGCGTGCACCGTCTCCAGCACGAGGCGATCCGTAGCGCTGGGCGGCAGCTTCGGGTACCGCACCTGGACCTCCTCGGTCTCGTTGAGGTCCGGCACCGCGGTATCTGGGTTCATGTTGAGAACGTTACCGAGCATGTCGCGGATGCTGGGCGCTGGGTTGATCTCGGAGTCGTACCACGGCAACTGAGGCGCGAAGATGATCTTATTGGTGAGGGATTGGATTTCCTTGTTGGGCTGTACAATGGTGACTTTGATGTTGAAGGGGGCAATCTCGTAGGCTAGCGAGTCGCAGAACCCCTCGAGTGCCCAGATGGCTGAAGTGTAGATTGGCATTCCTGGCGTGCCGATGTGACCGCCCGTACTGGAGAGGATGATGATGTGTCCCGTGTGTTGAGAGCGTAAGAGTGGGAGAGCGGCCTTGATGAAATTGACCTGGGAGAAGAAGATTGTCTCGAACTGGTCGCGGACCAGGTTTTGTGTTAGGGGATTGGTGGATAGCTCTTCCACGCTCCCCACGACGGCTATCGAGGGTCGTCAGCTTGCATCACTTGCATGAAGGATGCTTGTCGTGAGATACCTTCAGATTTGCAGCATAGGAGGATGTCGATCCTGCCAAATACTTGAACGGCCTCAGCCACGGCGGCGCCGCATTGGCCCATCACGCGCCCATCGCAGCGGATGCCGCGTATCCTGTCCTTCCAACCTTCGCGGTCCTTGCGGTTGCTCTTACACTCATTGATCAGCTCTCTAAACTCGGCGCTGCGACCATCGTCCTCAATCTCGCTCGGCGGCAGACACGCGACAACGTAGTCACCGTGGCCTAGGAGCAGTCTGATGAGCCTGATGATGAGTGGGGAGAGAGCTGTAGTCAGGAACCAAGTCCTCGGCGAATTGTGCGTAGCTGAGGAGTGAATTAGCCAAGAGGTGTGCTGCCAAAGAGCCCGTGCTAAGGTAGTGAGAGATGCTCACGGAAAGACGGTGCGGGAATGGAGTGGGAATGCTTCGCCGCGTCCGCCCCCTTGCGGTCCGCCATGCCCGGCGACACTTCTGACAAATCCTCGTCCCTTTTACACGCGAATCAGCTCACGAACCCGTACGACATCTGTCGAGATGGACAAATGAATCAAATCAGCTGCAGGTTAATGTACGGATATCAAAACGGTGGATACGTGGGACGGAGTTATGTAGGTCAATCTTGGAGTGGGAGGGCAGAAAGACGAGAAGGGGGAGGGATATTAATACATTATCTTATTGACAACTTCCTAAGGAGAGGCTGATACGGCGATCTCAATCACAAGGGGCCACGTTCGGGAACGGCTAGACGTGCCATTAAGGTCGCATTCCCTGGGTGTAGTCTGCAGAGGGCGTCGATCGAGGGGAGGGGGGCGTGGTCGTTCATCAACTGTGGATGGGGTTGAGAGGAACACGACACTGGACAACAAGCCGTTCCAGCCCAATCTCTATATCACACCCCTGTTGAAGAGGGACCTCGGGAGGGGGAAAGGCCCCCAAGGCCCCCCAAGCCCCCCCCCCCCAAAAGGCACCCCCCGCCCGCCTTGCGCACGCCGCATGCTCATGCTGCCCAGCACGGATCTCACAATGCAGTGCCCGAAGCGAGGGGGCCCACCACGGGCCAGCACGGCGCGGTTCCAGCGGCATCCCCACGCTAGAATCCGGGGAACAACCCCTCCATCCACTCACGTCATTTTTTTTGGTCCTTGTTTCCGACACCGGTGTCTCTTCCGCATTTTGGCGGGGTTACTTGTCTGGAATACCTCCGTCGCAACTTTTTTTTCTGGCACCACCGCAACTCCGTCCTCGGTGACTCATTAGAACCAGTCTCAACCCTATATAAAACTAATTGATCAACGATTCTATTCTCCGCGTCGAACCCTTCTTGAGTCTGCCATTGACTGAATCTGTCAAACCCTTTCTCCCCCGATTCCAATTGACACCGCCAGAGAACCGCTTCCCATCATGCCCTCACGCGCCGACATCACCTACTTTGGGGCTGGCCCCGCGCTGCTGCCCACCGATGTCCTCGAGACGGCCTCTCAGGCCCTGCTCGACTTCAACGGCACCGGTCTAGGCATTGCAGAGCACTCTCACCGCAGCGAGATCGCGACCAAAATCATCGAGGAGGCCAAGGCCGACCTGGCGACCTATCTCGACATCCCCTCCGACTACGAGGTCCTCTTTATGCAGGGCGGCGGCAGCGGCGAGTTCTCCGCCACCGTCTACAACTTTGTCGGCGCCTGGGTCGCCCGCCAGCGTGACGCCGTGCTGGCGAAGCTCGGTGTCTCGGACGAGAACGACGAAAAGGTTGTCGCTGAGCTGCGCAAGATTGTCGACGAGAAGCTCAAGATCGACTACCTTGTTACTGGAGGCTGGAGTCAAAAGGCCAGCGCCGAGGCCGCGAGGCTACTCGGCCCGGAGTTTGTCAATGTCGCCGCCGACGCCAGGAAGATCAACGACGGCAAGTTTGGCAAGATCCCTGACGAGAAGGACTGGAAGCTCAGCAAGGACGCGGCAATGGTCTACTACTGCGACAACGAGACGGTCGACGGCGTCGAGTTCAACGGCTTCCCTGGTGCGCTGGCGCCCAAGGAGAACGGCGAGAACCCCATTGTCGTGGCCGATATGTCCTCCAACATCCTCTCGAGACGGATTAGCGTCAAGAACTTTAGCGCCATCTTCTTTGGTGCGCAGAAGAACCTCGGTTCGACCGGTATCACCGTCGTCGTCATCAAGAAGAGCCTCCTGGCTGCGCAGCCCTCGCCTGCGCTGATGCGCAAGCTCGGTCTCCCCATTGCCCCCGTTATTCTCTCATATGAGACCATTGCCAAGAACAACAGCTTGTACAACACACTGAGCATCTTCGAGTGAGTCATCTCCCCACAACTAGCCAAATTCCTCCTTCTGCACTTTACTTACCACTATGTTACAGCGTCTACATCGCCGGCCAGGTCCTCAAGAAGCTTCTTCGCACTTACAAAGACAAGGTCGACGGTCAGGAGGCCATCGCTGACGAGAAGGCCTCCCTCATCTACTCGGCCCTCGAGGCCCACCCCGACATCTACCACATCGTCCCCGACAAGAGCGTTCGCTCGCGCATGAACATCTGCTTCCGCGTCACCAAGGGCGGCGATACTGACGTCACGGAGAAGGCCTTCCTCAAGGAGTCCACCGCTCAGGGCCTCACCGGCCTCAAGGGCCACCGCAGCGTCGGCGGTATCCGTGCCAGCAATTATAATTCTATTCCTCTCGAGGGTGCACAGAAGCTGGCCAAGTTCATCGAGTCATTCGCCAAGGCCTAATGGTTGTTCAATATAGACGCATTGTCTTTGTCTCACACCGTCGATATAATGATACCATGTAAGAATACATGAACCAAAAAAAGGAGGGAAAGGTTACTGGGAAATAAAAACAACGCATATTGGGAATTTTTTAGGGAGCCATGATTTAATTCAACATTGTTCTGCCGGGGGCTTATGGCTTCACTTGAAAACGTCGTTTCTCTACAAGGCATCAGTGAGATAACCGTGCATTGTTGGCGCATGGATCGACGTAACGGTAGGTGGTCTTTGGGATATAAGAGAGGACAGGAAGTGTCGTACATCGGCTCGGCGTCCATATCTCAGATCTTTGCCAACTCTTTCTTCACTTTCTCCTCGCTGCAGACAGGAGCCAGATTACATCATTGACAACCCGCTCACTGGTGCCTCGGACACTCAGACATCGCGCTGGCATCTCTGCTCTGAGAGTAACCCGCCGGAGGATTTCATGTGGCCACGATTTCTGTCCAGACTTAGAAATGCATTCTATCTCGAGCCAAGTTCATTCCCCGCCGAGAGAGAGATTGCCAGACTTGAAGCTCGCTCGTTGCGCACCACCTCTTCTCACCAGTCTGCGGAAGCACTTCGGTTGCAAGCGGCCACCAAAAGCCTCCCACCAAAGTCGGTGGCTGTCTTCCTGAGCAAGCGCTGATTTCAGCATGGAACCGGCTGCTTCTTTTACTTTGACCAACCTCCTTTCTTGGCCGAGGTGGAAGAGTCTAACAAAGACTGACAATCACCTTTCCGACAGGAACCCAGCTTCCTCTGCCTTTTGTGGTCAGTTCTTGCCTTGGAGCTCATTGTAGTCCGCAAGCCCGCCCATCCACATTTTCAGTTTCTTTACCACTTGCCTTGGATGATCCTGGACGTATTTTCAGCAGCCATGCTCGATTCATGATGGCGGACACCATGAATAGAGTGAGTATGTATTCTGTCAAAGCGATGTCCGTCCTCGGTATCCATCTGATGCCATCGAGTGCGGTTGGGGCATCATACCCATACATGGGTCTTTCTTTGAGGAAATCACTGGCTCTCGGACTTCACCAGGAAACAGAGGAATTAAAATGAAATCTTCTTCGCAGAATTCTGACAATCAAGCTCAACTGACCGAGATCGATAGCTCAAGGTGTCATCGCAGACCACCTGCCCTAGCCAAGCAACCGATGACTTGCAGGGCTTCGACACTTAGACCACCAATACCTTACCTTACATAGGCCAACCTTCTAGTAAGCCGGCCTCTGTCTATTTCCGCCGGTGACGAGAGCTACTTTTGAATAATATGAGGCCGTGTAACAAATGCAAACACTCACGCCATTATCCAATCTCGTCAAGGTGCACCTTCAAACCCAAGGAGGGAATGCCTTGGGTCTGTCCGCAGCCTCTGGATCAACAAGTGACTCTGGCGTTTCACAATGTCAGCTTCGACATCTTAAAATCCAGGAAACTAATGGTTGATGCTTGGAGCTTAGGGTATCCTCGCTCCATTGGTAGGTGTCGGTGCTTGTGTAGGTTGTACGAACGCATCTGAAAGACTCACTCGGATCTTAACGTGTCGAAGTTCGACTGGTTCAGCATCCAGTTCTGCGTTTTCAGTCAGACTTGGAGACAAGACCAGTTCCGAGGGCTGTTTCAAGGTCTTGTTCCCTTTCATCTTCACTATCCTGATACATTTTGATTTAGCATCGGATATCACTTGTTCGAAGGGCTGAACTTGTAAGGGAAACCTTCAACCAGAATTTGCCAACCTGAAGATAGTTTGTGTGATAGATTATATAAAATTTCTAGTACATTGTGGCCTTGATGAGTCCCATGTGCTGAATATCCTGAATGGCTCAAAACATTGGCTATTGTTACCGGTATCTCGTATTGATCTACTACCATTATAAGGCATTCGAGTGCATTCTTGCCCCGGGCTTGCTATTCGACTGTAGACCAATCTTTTCCATCCCGTATCAACCCTCGAAGGTAAATTATCGCCGGATTCCTCTCCGTAGCGTCATCCCAGCATGTGCTCCGCTTGCCGAAAGCTTCACCAGGGGAGACAGTGCTGTCCGACCGACGTGCGTAGATTGGCCGGCGGCACAGTGCCCGAAATCGGCCACGGTGCACATCGATGCAAGACCTCAACTGACGAGACCAAGAGGGGTTGGCGCATCTTGATGTAAGATAACGCAGGTATTCAAATACGTTTAGTCTGAAATTTCTACATTTAAACTCGAAGTGATTCACATACCGTCAGATGCAACCCGAATAGTGAGCAATGTCTCTTTCAAATCCTCGCAGCCAGCTGCTCGCAGCTCTACTAAGCCGGCGAGCTTCGGCCATTCGTTACACACGAGATGCATCTCTTACATGTTTACAGTCTCGATACATATCCACTGCTCCAAAGACCTCAGAAACACTGCCACCACATTCGAAGCTGCCCCTGAAGATTTTGCTACGGTCTCTATTGGTGGCCACCATCTCCTCCCACCGAGTCTTGCTGGGTCCGTCTCTAGCCATTTTGGAATTCCTCAACAGCTCGCACCGGAGCTGGATCTTTGACGTGCAAAGAAATCCCGTATTGCACGGTCTACTGAAGAAGACCATGTACAACCACTTCTGCGCCGGTGAGAATCGAGGAGAGGTGACGTCAACGATTGAGGAGATCAAGCGAATGGGCTTTCGGGGAGCCATCCTCACATATGCCCGCGAGATCGTCGTTGAAAACAGAACAGAGCAAGAGAGCGGCCGAGAATTGAAGGAGGCGGGTTGCAGCTTGGAAACCGAATTGGACACCGGTATCGACGCATGGCGTGAGGGTGTACAGAAGACGGTGGAAAAGCTCAGCGAAGAGGATATCTTGGCTCTCAAGTTGGCGTTCCCTATAACCAAAATTTCATCACGAGGCATGCTAAATTGCTCTGAAGATTGACTGGTGCCGGTGCCGCGGTCTCGGAGGCGCTGACTTCTAGAAAGCCCCTCCCAGCGCAGATGGAGTCAGCTCTCGCAGACGTGTGCTCTCGAGCAATGGAACGCGGGGCACGCATCTTCATGGACGCCGAACAGATCTCAGTGCAGCTTGGAATTGATACCGTAGCGCTAGACCTCATGCGCCGCTTCAACACAAAAGGAAAAGTGGCCGTCGTTTTCAACAACTACCAAGCATATTTGAAGAGCACACCAGACATCCTGGCCCAGCACATGACGCTGGCTGACAAGGACGGCTTCGTCCTCGGCGTTAAACTGGTACGCGGGGCTTATATCAGCTCAGAGCCGCGGCATTTGATCAACGACAGCAAGGAATCAACAGACGACTCTTATAACTCGATTGCACGAGGGCTCTTGACCCAGGAGTACAGGGAGTTTGGCGCGCTGGATGGAAAACCCTTCCCGAACACCGACTTGTTCCTTGCAACACACAACAAGGCCAGCGTTTTGGAGGCCAATGAGTTACAACAGACTCGCGCCAAGGAAGGGAGACCCCTGATCAAGATTCAGTACGGACAGCTTCTCGGCATGGCCGATGAAGTCAGCTTCAGTCTGCTGCAGCTCGCAGACCAGGGTGCCGACGCGAAGACGTCACAAAACAAAGCCCCCATAGAGGTTTACAAGTGCTTGAGTTGGGGCTCTCTTGGCGATTGTATTTCGTATTTCTTGCGGCGGGCAGTAGAGAACCGGGATGCTGTATCACGGACAAAGTCGGAATTCACTGCGTTGAAGAGAGAGTTGTGGAGGAGGATTACAAGTTCTAAATGAATCTGCTAGAATGAACAGAAATCAAACAAGCTACGTCACACTTTTATCGTAAAGTTGACTTAGGGAATCCCTCCCTCTCTTGGTGTAAGTGAGGTTTTGGTGAAGACAGTAAGTCGAGCTGAAAGAGAGGCGGCATCTGGACCTTGTAAATAAAGTAGTGGTCAGTGCCTCCCTCTACCCATGTACCTGGTCCTCAGCTCCTGAGCTCTGATTATCCGTACTTTATCCGGAAGAATGACAGAATGGAACAGAAGCTCCCTCCAGAATCCAGACGAGGGGCTGAGGTGCCTATCGACGTCCAAAGCCTAGAAGAGGTACCTGACCTGCCACCAAGCCCCACCAGCTCAACTCCCAAAGCCACCGCGCAAGCTACAAAACGACATCGTCACATCTCACCAGCGCCGTCAAATCCCACCATACTCCAACCCTCGCCTGCAACCATCCAAGCCTCACCCAAACGGCAGTCTCCGATAACAAACCCGAAAATGGCAGCCAAAGGAGACAAGATTGAAAAGATCATCACGCGGCTCCAGGCCCGCATCGGCGAAGGCCAGTTCTACGAGGCCCAGCAGCAGACCCGCGTGGTCGCCGCCCGTTACATCAAGGCCGCGAACTGGCCCGCCGCCATCGACATCCTCTACAATGTCGCACAGTCCCTACTGAAGGCCGGCCAAGGCGGCAGCGGTGGCGATCTGGCCGTCATGCTCGTCGACGTCTTCAAGCAGGCCGAGCTCAAGCCCGACGCTGCCAGCAAGGGCAAGCTGCTTACCCTCCTGCGCCTGTTTGCAGCACAGGAGCCGACGAGAAAGAAGTTTATTGGGGAGATCATTGCGTGAGTACAAGCTGTGTTTGTGGGCATGGTGATAAGTAGGGAAGACGATCAGTTGCATCTGACTACGGCGCTCTCTACAGATGGTCATCCAAGTTCGGCGAGTACCCCGCCGGCGATACCGACCTCCACCACGTCGCCGGATCACTCTACGCCGAAGAACACGACGCCTACGAGGCAGAACGACACCTGGTACTAGGAACCAAGGACTCGGCCGAGGTGCTCGCAAAAATGGAATACGTCTGGTACAAGGAGGACGACTCGCACACGGCGCCCCTCTACGCCGCCCGCGCCATCTTCCCCTACCTCCTCGTCGGCAACGTCCGCGCCGCAAACACCTGCTACCGCCTCTTCGCCTCCTCCCTAAGCGACGACAACAAGGGTCTCGGCGTTCAGGACGTCAGCAGCAACAGCGCCGACCTGCGCATCTTCCCCGGTCTGCCCCTCCTCAACTTCCTCGGCCTGCTGTTGCTGGCGATCCAGCGCGGCGCCCCCGACGCCTACAAACAGCTCCTGGCAAAGTACTCGTCCAACATTTCCGAGGTCAGCGCGTGGAGCGAAGCGCTCGAGATCATTGCGGAAATGTACTTTGGCATCACGCGCCCGAGGCAGAGCAACCCGCTCATGGACATGATGGGCAGCCTGTTTGGTGGAGCTGGTGGTGGTGGTGGTGGCGCCCCTCAGCAGAGACGTCCCGCGACGAGACGGGTGGAGGCACCCGCGGCCGAGGGCTTGGATTAGATGAAGATGTTCCGTCGATTCGGCGCAGATGCCCGTCGTGCTTGAGAGCACGCTCGTAATGAACCAGACTTTATCAGGAGCTGATGATACTAAGGCGGCAATAGATGCGGGTTTGGCTATGCATGGTGTTCAGAAGCTACGGGGCAGCTCCGGCTCGGCCTCGTACATCCAATTATCGTCGGCGAGGGCCGAGACCTTGGCCCGTAGACTGGCCTTGACAGCTTCGAGCAGCTCTAATCGCACAGGAGCGGGTTAGAAATCCTATTTCTCTTACGGGGGAAAAAGTTGAACACGGAAAGGTCTCGAGGGACTCACCTTCAGGCTGCTCACGGACCGCGGTATGGTTGACCTGATGCTGCTTCACCGCCTCTGCGAGCCGCTGCCGCTCTTCTATAAGCATAATTAGCATAACCAAAAACTCCATACCCCCTCCAACGGGAAAAGAATACGTAAAAATGAAAAGAAAAGAAATTTTATGAATAAGAAACACGAAGAACAAAACATACTCTTGCTCTCCTCCCGATCGTCCATGGCAGCCGCCTCATCGGCCTCGTCAAACACAAGCGTCGGCAGCTCCCCGAGCTCAATCTCACCGTGCTCGTCGCGCACTACAATCTCCGCAGGTCCCATCGCGGAGGGCGGCCCGCCGTCAGAGAGCACGTCGATGTCGAGGCGGAGCGTCTCGCCGGCGTTACCAACACCGCCACCGCCGCCACCACCGGCCGAAGAACCGCCGCCGGCGCCAGATCCTCCAGTCCCAATCGTCGCAGCTGCGGCGGACAGCGATCCCACGCCCGCGACGGCCGTCGAAGCGATGGGTTGCCCCGTGGTACCCGTCGCCCGCCTCGTGAGACCTTGGAATAGATTGCGCCGGACCGCTCGTCGCGGGGCGCCGGGTGGAGGCACCGGTCTCGAAGCCCTGTCGGCCATTGTTCTGGATCCCTTTTTTCTCCTTCGCGTGAAAGGCGTGCTGTTGGCTGAGGGTCGCCTATATCTGTTCTTTCTTTCTAATACTTCCGTTCCTGAGGTGGTTCGGCGTACACGGTTTGCCGGTGGCGATGGTAGCTGATGATTGCTCTTGAATTGAATCTCTATGCGTAGAATATGACAAGGATATTGAACCTTCCAAACAAGGGCGATGGTGTGAGTAGCTATGGGGCGCTGGTTTGTATGCGCCGTCCACGTTGCAGACCGCCGCCCCTCTGTTTACATTTGGAGGTTGACGTCGTCCCGGCACCGCATATAGTAATTATCGATAAGAGACAGTGCGCATTTCAGAAATAGCGAATGAACACAGTGCCTGGAAGTTGTTGCACCAAGACGGGCTGGCTAATAAACCGGCTTACACCCGGTCCTGGCTGGCTCATCACTGACACGATCAAGACACCACGAGTTGGCACGACCAAATTGAACATCATTGCTTCATTGACAACATTTTCGCGTAACCTTTTTATGCTACAGAACCATCCTAGCCTGGACATGCATGATTCCCATTATGTATCGTACATTAGAAACTCCCACAGCCGTGACGAAGACCTCCAACCAATCGATACCCAGTCCCAAAATAGACACAAAAGAGTAAGACAAAAACCGGCAGAAAAGAAAACGCCGAGATATGCATACCCCAAAACTACCCTGTCGTGACCGCTCAAGTCCCTTTTTTTGTCGACGTTGTCCTTGCAAGTTCGAAATCAAAAGACCAAAGAAAGCAATAAATCGTAGAATGCTCATCCCACGCATACCCATTCGGCGAAGACGCACCAACGAGCGGTCCGGTCCGCCAATACCAGTCCCCTCCAAACACCCTTCTCGGAACATTTGATGATGGTCTCCCACGTACCACCATCACCCAGATCCTCCTCAGCTCCTCTGCTACCGACACTTATTCCCCTGCGCTCCTCTTTGCGCATGAGACGGAGGATCTTCCCACCCGGAGTTTGAATTGCCAACTTGGCTGGCTTCTTTCCACCGCCAGCAGCTGCACTGAGGTTCGAGCCACTGGCGCTGGATGCAGTTATACTCATCGCTGAGCTCGGTCTTGCAAACGGGATCGGACTTGCGCCCCCAGGATTCGTCGACGGCGTCATCACCGAACCGGCCGCGCCTGCAGAGCTGGGATGTTGTCGGATTGCGAAAACGAAAGTGTTGTTCAGAGCCAGGCGTTGGCATTGAGGTTGAACAACGTAGATGTCGTGACGCTGCGCATGAGGCGTCGGATGCCGCGTCACAAATTCATACGGCGGATTCTCGCCCGTATGAATGATAGGCAGCGCAAATGCCACCGGATGAGGGATGTCCTTGATGCTGTGCATCAGGCCACGCTTGCCGGCATAGATCTTCAAGACTCCCTGGCCCTCATCGCCAGGCAGTAAAGCCTTGACGGTGTATCGTTTGGTGCCGTTGAACCACTCCGCTTGGGCCAAAGCTCTTTTCCTCACAACCTCGCCGCTCTCGAATACATCCCCGTCAACATCCCTGGTGTAGCCACGGACCTCGACCTCAGCAGCGACCTCCACGTCGGGCGGAGCGTTGAACTTTACATGTACCATCTCAAGGTCCTCTATGCGAGTTGACGCCGTGTTATAGTCGACCATCTCCAGCATGTTCTTGAAGAACGGGGGGCAGGCACATGGCAGATTCAGAAGCACTTCATGGGCCTGCGGTGGGCACATGTGTTGTTGAGTGTGGTGTTCAGGGATATGCGTCCAGCAGAGCTCTGTCGGCCGCGCGAGGAACCACCAAAAGTCCGCAGCGCCGTTGCCAGCACTCGAGTAGAGATGTCGCCTGGGGTAAGAAGGGCTGGCCATACAGCAGTCAATCATGCGCCAGTCATTGTCGACCAGAACCGCGTTCCACCAGTGATTTGCCCGAGGCATGATGTTGTGCTCTGGAATTTCACCGGGTGTCTTGAGATACCCACGAATGACCTCACACTGAATACCGACGGCAGAACACATTTCGTACACTGTGACCGCGTACTCTTCGGCACTCGCTCGCTTCGACTGCAGCACTCTCCGGGTGTCGACCTCGCCTTCGAAATCCTCTTCCCAAACGAGTTTCTCAGACACCCAAGTGAAGATTGCCCGCAGTCTCTGAACGTCGCTGCGATATGGGCGACATACGTATGTTGTTGCCAAGCTCTGTGCTGTTGTCGATGCCGGGAAGCTGCTCACGAACCTCGAGTTTTTGTCCACTTGCATGAGATTCAATGATTGATAGTCGATGGGGTCCTCCACAGGCAGACCGTCGGCTCCTTCATCGCCCTCCATGCCTTCGTACAACTCATCGACTGGGTTTAGTGCAGGATAGTCGAGCATTTGACAGCGATCTTTTCGCTCGTTTCTCTCGTTCTTACTCAGAGAATTGGACCGATTGACGTCTCTGCGGACCTGAACCCAATCCACCCCGTTTGCAAGACCCATTTCTCTGGCTGCTTCCCTACCGAAGCCAGTGCTCCCCATGTTGGTCAAGTTAGAGACGCTAGCACCCGCTTGAGCGACAACGTTGGGCATGGAGCGAGCGAAAGGCGACGATCTGGGTGAGTCGGCACCCATCGCAATACTACTGCGTCCGGACGCCACTCCAGTCTTGGCTGTGTCGAGGAGCTTCTTGAATATGTTTCTCTTTGGAGGTTTTGGGGTGACAAGGCCTCCAAGACCAGCATTATCATGAAAGCCTGCTTGAGATTTTGGCCGAGATGCTTCCGAGGCGTGGCTGCTGTGGTATGTGACACCGGTGAACGGGGTTTCTGGGCGTTCGATATCAGCGTCACGCATACCCAGGGCACTTTGAGCACGCTTCTGAGTCTTGCGAGCGAAGCTGCCGGCGCTCGTTGCGCTAATAGCGCCGGCTGACGACCCACTCATCAAACTCCTGTCGCTGCTTTGCGTCGTCGAACTCTGATTGCCTGAGGAGGCGCTGGTAGAGTTGGTCTTCGTCGTAAACGTCCTGTTCAGGACGTTGCGACCAATGTCGTAAGCCGATTTGCGTCCGCGAAGCTTCCTCTCCTCCGGTCCACCCATCGAAGACTTGGGTCTCTCGTATAACTGGCCTTTGGGGGGTGGCTTCGGTGCCTCATCCTCAAGGTCAGCCATACTTGCGCTATGTTGATGCATTTTTTTGAGACGACTTTCCATACGTTCGACGTAGTTACTCAGTTGAGGTAGCTGCTCTTTATCCTCCCGATGTCCATTGTGATAGGATTGGTCTCGTGATGATCCGCCGCTCCAGGTTTCGTACCCTTCGTCCTGTTGTGCTATGCCCATAGATGTCTGGGGTCTTTGGTGAGTGTTTTTTCTCCTAGCGCGGTCGTTAACCATGTCAAAAGACTCGGGTGACCACGGATCGAGTGGCGGCTCTGGTGTCGGGTCTCGGGGCATGCCGAGGGCGTCTAGCTGCTCGATCACGCCGTCCATTGCTTCCCGCAATGGTGAAGGAGTCATGTGACTCGCTGACGGTGAAGATGGAGCTGGGGAGTGATGCCGCTGAGTCTGTATCGGTGGCGGCCGATGGGCTTGATACGAAAGATGCGAGCCATGCCTGTCCAGAGGAGGATGACGATTGTCATATGAGGCACTCGAGTCTTGACGCACGACATCGAATCGTTTGTCGTAAGAGTTACCCGACCCTTGTCGACCAGCATGGAAACGGTTATCGTAGGAGCCATGGGAGTCCTGACGGGAGCTATCGTGCCTACTGTCGTAGGATATGCTTTGCTTGTGCCGCGGAGCCGCTACATGTCGGTGCGGAGGTGGAGCTGGGGGCGGAGGAGAATCCACCTGTTCTCGAGTGGGAGGACGGTAAGGCTTATAGCTAACTGAAGGGGCCGGTGATGGGCCTCTTGAGCTGAAGTTGTGGGATGGCGGTATGGGAGACGGGCCCCTCTCCGTGTTGAATGAGTTCACCCTCGAGCCATGGCCGTAGTCGGGAACGGGTGTCCTTTCTCTAGGAGGAACAGGCGTTCTTTCCCTTGGAACTGGTGTTCTTCCTCTTGGCACGGGCGTCCTTCCTCTCGGCATGTACTGCTGCGCGCCATCGTTGAACGAATTACCCCGCGATACATAGCCGGTCGGGGCTGGCGACGTGTATGCTCGCATTCTAGTCGAGGCAGCATCATTGAAAGAGTTTTCTCTCGAGAGGAAGGCCTCAGGCGCCGGTGATCGATCTCTTTTGCTTTGCTCTGCGATTGCACTGTGCATCGACTCTCCGGAGTGCCCTCTAGGCCTCGGGTTTGGGTTCGTCCGGTACACTTCGGGCTGTTTCGCAGCGGTGTAGTGCGGCGCCTTGGAATACGCCTCGAAAGGCTTTCGGAAAGTCCTTGACTTTTGAGGTGTGCTTGGGCTCGGTGTGCTCTCTGCTGGAAGAGGGCTGGCTGACCTCGTCGTTGGTCTGAAGTCGGCAGGGAGAACCTCAACGAAATTGGACGGAAACACTCCCACTGTCCTCCTGTCGCGCCATAGTCTGCCTGTCCACCACGAGCCGTCTCCGGCGTTTAGGCACTCGATCAAATCACCCTCGATGAAGCCGAGATCTCGCTTGGACTGTGAAAAGTCAAGTCAGTACTCGGAAAGCCAATCTCCTCAGCGAGGCTCAAATAAATGCAACAGACCTCTCCTCCCCAAGAGTAGACCGCTCTGCACCAGCACGGAAACCGTGTTGGTAGAGACTGTGGTGCAGGCACCATGTTGAAGAATTGACGATCGCGCCCCCAGTCGGCTGGTGTGCTTAGTCGGGCGCGAGTACTTGCGTGTCGGTGTCGAGTGCCTCAGTGGGTGGTTGTTCACGGAGCCAGGCACTCGGCTCACGCCGTAATAAGTTGATTCGACGCGATCGTGTAAGTTGCACTGAACTGTCGTGACGGACATGCAAAGGCGCGCGCGCAAAGGCCGGTGGCAAGGAATAGCGACAAGATCAAGCTCCCGCAGCGAAGCGAGAAGCAAGCGAGAGAGGACTTAGGTATCGTGGGGTTTTTTTTTTTTTTTTGCAGGCCTTGAAGAGTTGTTGTTGAGGAATGCAGGTGAGCCTCGCGTGCACGGCGACAATGACCTTGTTGGAGTGGGTAGTGGAAAAGGCGTGGTCATGGGAGTTGATCGGTGGGAGACGGTCAATATTGGCGGAACAAGTACAAGTGGAAAGTCGATCTGTCGGACGCGACTTCCAAGAAAGGGATGCGGTGAATGTCAGTGACGGCCGGGGGTGCGGACCCGGGGCAACCAACAAACAGAGGGGCTCGTTGGCAGGGGGACGTCGGGAGTCTCCAAACACTGGACGGGCTGGAGTGAGCTGGAGGAGGCAATCGGAGGGCAATCTGGGCACTGCTAACTCAAGCTTGTAACGGGTTGCGACCTCCAGTGCGGCTGGCGCATCTCCACCGGCGACTAGTGGACCCTCTCGGTGCCCCCTTGGTCCCGCGCTAAGCCTGGCATGGCACATCTGAGGCCCCTGGACCTTGGAGAAATCTTGGAAATCTTTGGTCACCGCCTGCGATGCCGAAGCAAGGACCAAGCCGAGAGAGACCCCGTCGCCTTTCCCGCTGTTAACCTTCTCTTCAGCTTGCCTGATCCAAGTCCTGTTATCAGCCGGCTGTCTACGGAGTATTACGTCGCAGATACACAGAGATGCATGCGTATATCCGTACGGCAGATTCCCCCTTGCAGTACCTCACTCGCCGAGATACGGATGAATAGGCAGGTATTATTGTCTTTGCCAGCTTCGGCAAGGGAGAAACCCCACCCTGGCCAGCTTAATCGGCAAAAAGCTTGCCTCCTCGCCTCGTAGCAGCAAACCTGGAAGGACCTTGAAGAAGAACCTGGAACTGGAAGGGTAAATTTGGACAAAAAAAAAGAGAGGCAGCGGGTGAGGATATTCTCTACTGACAAGCAGGGGGCACGTTGTTTTAGTGCGATGAACAACGCAGCGCCGTCTCATGGGGAGGCCCTGCATACCTCAGCACATTAGACCAACACGTCTTCTGCCATCCACTCACGAGTCACTGGCGTTGGCAACCAGATATCTGCAAGGCAACGCAGCTAACGCTCGGCACGTCGAATAAGGTCGCAGGAAACTCGATAGCAAGACAGAATGACGGGCGACAAGCGAGTTTGCAAGCCGGATCAAGGTCAGATCAAGGTCACACTCGCATCTCTCTGGCATGCAAACGACGCAAGCACTCACACGACAGCCATCAGTGAGCACACCTCTTTCTAATCAGTCACCACACTTTGCATTCTCCCCGTCTCTTCCTCTCTCCTGCATATCAAACACTAAACACCAACCGCTCCCCATCCTCTCCTCCGTTTTCTTTCTTGTTCGCGATTCTCACGATGCTTCAGAAACAGCCGCTCTCGACCGACGTCTTTTCGCTTGCTTTTTCGTCGCAAGATCGGCTGACTCGCCCCGGTTCATAGTTTACTACCAAGTACCCCCCCTGGTGCCAAATTGCGGTTCCCCGGAGCTCCCCCAGCTATACCAAAACGGAAGAAAGTAAACAAAGGGTCCGAGCTTTGCGACGAAGCACCGCCCAACGCCCAACACCCACGGTGCAAGTGGGCGAAAAAAGACCACCTTGACCAGGCCCTGGACTCCCGCTCGACAAGCGACAAGCCCGCTACCTGCTGTCCCAAGCAACCAGACTGCTGTCGATCCGCTTGCTTTATTACATCCAATTGCTTTTGGTCCGCCCTAAATACACAAGCCAGGCCGTCTTGACTGACACACGACAGCCCGTTCCCTGGATACCCATTTCTTCTCTCGAAACTCTTTCCCAGCATCCTGTCGCTTCGCCTGCGCAATCCTCTCCTCGAAACCCCTCGGTCTAGGACTCCCGGGTCGACCGTCGCCAGCTCCTCCCTCCCTCCCACTCCATCTCTGCTGCCAGGAATTCTGTTGAGCGAATAAACGATTCAATGACGTCCAAATCGGCCGCGATGGCCGACGAGGGTGTCGCCGAACACTATCAGGTTCTGGAGGAGCTCGGTCGTAAGTCTTGTTATTCTTCATCTACTTTTCGAGGCAATCGCGCTGATGTGACATACAGGCGGAAGTTTTGGTGTCGTTTACAAGGCCATTGAAAAGGCCACTGGCGAGACTGTCGCCATCAAGCATGTAAGTCGAAGCATCTTCGACCTAGGCTTCCATCAACAAACTAACAAAGACCTGCGCAGATCGACCTCGAGTCGAGCGAAGATGACATTCAAGAGATCCAAGGCGAAATCGCTGTGCTGAGCACATGCGCGAGTTCCTTCGTCACGCAATACAAAGGCAGTTTCTTGCGCGGCCACAAACTCTGGATCGTCATGGAGTATCTTGGTGGTGGTTCATGTCTAGACTTGGTATGTCACTTTGCGCCACAGGTTTGTCGGAATCCGGCCTGCTAACATTCCTTAGCTCAAACCCGCCAACTTCGCCGAGGTCCACATCGCCATCATCTGTCGAGAGCTTCTTCGTGGTCTCGAATACCTCCACGCCGAGGGCAAAATCCACCGAGATATCAAGGCCGCCAACGTCCTTTTGTCCGAGGCTGGAAAGGTCAAGTTGGCCGACTTCGGCGTCGCCGCTCAATTGACCAACATCAAGTCCCAAAGGAACACCTTCGTCGGCACTCCTTTCTGGATGGCCCCCGAAGTCATTCAACAGGATGGCTATGGTTTCAAGGCAGACATCTGGTCGCTAGGCATCACTGCCATGGAGATGGCCAACGGCGAACCGCCGCTGGCGCATATTCATCCGATGAAGGTTTTGTTCCACATCCCAAAGAACCCTCCTCCTCGGTTGGAGAACAACTTCAGCAAAGACTTCAGGGACTTCGTCGCACAGTGCTTGGTCAAAGACTCTGACCGCAGACCCTCGGCGAAGGATTTGCTTCGTCACCGATTCATCAGATCGGCGGGCAAGGTCGAGGCTCTTCAGGAGCTGATTGCACGCAAGCAGATGTGGGATGCGAACCAGAATCGAAGGACCCACCCTACCTTTTACCAAGAAACTCTGCATACCATGTCTTCTAGGGACGACACAGATGAATGGGTGTTTGACACGGTAAAATCGGTGGCCCCCAAGCGACCGAACGGCCATGCACGGAAGCCGTCCTACTTTGCGGCAGAAGAGGCCATGCGCCGCCTCGACCTCAAAGATGCGCCGCTCGGCCCCTCATCTCCCGCTCCCGGGACAGTTCGCCGGTCTACTGTGCGTCGCCAGCCCTCGAGCCGCCAGAGTTCCGGCACACAGATCCAAGCAAACGGCTCACCTCGCTCGACTGTCGCCAGACGGCCTTTACAACCAGACATGTCGTACGGCAACTCTGGGTCCTCTGTGCGGCTCTTCCGCCGTGTCCCCTCGGATGGCTCTGTCACAGCCTGGGAGGACACTTCGCCGGAGGGCACCGTTGGCAATGAGAACAAAGCACCAATGCGAGCAGCCGCGATCGATACCAACAGCAAAGAGGCATTGCTTGGTCGCCGACTCTTTAACAGGGTCTTGGACCCTACCCTCGCCGAACTTCATGCGCAGACGTCAGGTATGCAGAGGCGGGAGGCGCTGGCGAAGCTTACCGACGCGTTTGCACTGCTAGACTCTGTTGATCCTGAAGGTGCCTACCATCTCATGCAGAGTATGATGGCGGCTGTCTCCCAGGACCCCAAGCTGAACCAGGCCTTGATGCCCCAGGAGTCGATCAAGATTCCATCAGATGACACTCCCCAAGGAACAGTCATCATCAGGAGCGCCGCCCCCACGCCATCAAGCAGCCCGACTAAGCTGATGATGGCACCGAACAATCCGCATCTGAAGAGCCACAGGAGGCGCAACGGGTCAATTGCGACGCCTGAGTCTGCCGAGAAGGAACGCAGCGAGAAGCCAGCCGTGGAAGCCAAGTATCCCGGCCGCCCTCCCCGGCCTGGTATGGAGCACTGCAAGCAGCTATCGGACGTACTCTACGGCCGGTGGACGGAGGGTTTGAGGATCAGATGGCCAGCGGTCTAGCTTTGGACACTTTCACGGTCATCTGAAGGATCTCGGCAAAGATTGACACAACATTATTATTCATGAGAAACATGCTGTATGATGAAAGTGTATGAACACGTCACAGTATACCGGGTTGGACAGTACACAAAAAAGCATTGCGACAGAGTTTCATTTCAGCTTGGCAGATTGAGAGTTACCACCTGGGGTTGGATTTTTTGATTGAAGACGCTGATGATGAGTTGACTTTCCGCCAGTGATGTTACTTTCACGACTGGATGAGTATCTACACACGGCCGATTCGGGTTTATTTGCTTTCTGCTTCGCATTGGGTTTGGCGTTCTTGGGTTTCTTTCGGCAGCAGTTAGATACCTCCGAGGTAGTAGCGTCAAGATTACGTTTTACAATTAAAGGGATTGGGTACGCAAATCGAAAACGTTCCTGTGACATGGGAAGACTACAATTCGAATCGATGGATTGGAAACCACCGACAAGTATTCTATGGCTCGAGTGGTACGTTCTTCATAGAGAGCTTTATTCTCCAGTTGATGAAATCATCCGTCAAGAGCTCGCCATGCCCTGCCTCGTCGATTTTGAAGACTTCAACGGTGGGCTCGCCCCCCCGTCTGCGGATCCTCCACACGCCGTCGTCGTTGATTGTCTGTCGAAGCCCTGCGGTTTGGTCAGAGATGCGGTTCTCACGCCCAAATAGCCAGCATAACCAATGACCGGCCGGATAGCCGGTAGAAAAGGGAGGCTAGAGAGGCGCACGAAACGAAGAAGAGAGCAGCGAGACCAGACCGAATAAGCTGAAAACTTACAAACAAGAAACTCGGCGGCGAAGTTGACGCACATATCGCCGTTCCACGTCGCCTTCCCGCGGCGCTGCACCGTATCGGGGATCTTCTCCGTCTCAATCTCCTCGACGTCAGTGAGGATGCCCTGGCGGTTGCGGAAGCCGACGATGATTTTTGGCACGCCGAGGAGGAACGACTGGATCCAGAACTTCATGAGCTTGCGGTGGAAGTTGTCGACGTCGCGATCGTCGCGGATGGCGAGGCTGGTCTTTAGTTCGACCCAGTTTGTGGGAGCGCCCTGTTTTTGAGGTTTGGAGTCCCAGACTTTGCCGGCATTTTGTCATTATCTTTTCTCCGAAGAAGAGTAGGGATATGCTGATTTTGAAATTTGGGGAAGAGAGGGAACTTACCAGCGTCGACTTCGCCGCCTATGCATATGACTGTTTGTCCTATGCCCGTCCTGACTACGGAGCAATACTGGGCCTTGTTGTTCACAACTTCGGCATCTCTGTTCTCGATATACTCCCTAGGCGTTTCACCCCAGGTGTCAGGAAGCGTGGCCAACGTCTCGAACTTGTATCCTGTTCTTCCTGTTAGTATGTTCCCTTGCTTAACAGAGGCTCGGCTCTGATGTATACCCCAGAATTGCATCACTTCGGGCAGGATGGGTCCCCTTCTCTGCTGCGCGTTCTGCTGCTTCTGAGACGCCACCTTGTACTCGTGATTCTCTTCTATGTATCTGTCTCAATTGTTAGTCTGACTGGAGGATGTTTGTGATTACGGCCTTGCTGTGCTTGCCGTACATGCAATCCTGAGTTGGGTCAGCTCAGTCGTTGGTGTGGAGGGACGGGAGTTTGTTCATGCGCACTTGGTACAGCGTTGCGTTCATTTCAAAGCTAGCTATGCTATCAGTCCCTATTATCCGAATTGTTTGGAAAAATGACTGTAAGACTGACCCGTCACGATCCTCAAATGGCGACGCCATGATCTATTCTCTTGGTCAGTTGAGGCTGGTACAGGGAACGGATCAGAAAGAGTTCATACCTTGGTCATCATACCACGCCAGGTCACGATTTGGGCGTCAATCTTTTGCCCCGTCTCCTCCTCATGGGCCTTGATGGTCTTGAGAAGTGCTCCGAGGTGCTCGGGTGTCGAGTCGTCGTGCTTGATGAAGGTATCGTAACCTTGGGACAAGTCGGCGCCGAGGGTTGGTGGGTAGTAGTATCTCAACGAGGAGTCGTCCAGGTGGAAATCATGGTTATCGTCATATGAGAAGCAAGCAAACTCCTGATTCGTGTTAGGCCAAAGATACAGACTGTTTCATTGGTACGTGAGACTCGGATTGATGAGATATCCAGCGCCACAGGAAAGACTGGTGTGTACCTTTGGCCGTTTGACTGGCTGGCTTGCGGCGTAGAAACGCCCAATAGGCTGGATGGGGAATTGTTCCGACATGATGACGGACAATGCAGCGTGGCACTGTGGCCCGGATTAAAATAGGAAATGCGTTATTCCAATAGGCCTCTCATCGTCAATGAGGGTTGGGATGAACAACGGACTCGGTCTGCGGTCCCGGTCTCTGCTTCGGTGTCGGGCGTTGAGAGATGAGTGTCTGCGGCGCGTCGAGGCGGGTCAGTTGACATGGAGCCGTCCGGGGGTGGTGGAGACCTGATGTCAACCGCTGAAGCGGGCCATTGAGAGCCATTGGTGAAATCCAAACATCGCTGAAACATGCATGAGGACGGCTGGGCTAGAGCCATCCGACACCCCTAGCCGCTGCGGGATGCCAGCACCTTGATGAGCCAGCTCGGCCCACTTCAACCACCTCACCTCTCAATTACGACATCTCGGAACCCTCTCACTCCTTTGCCCGACCACGACCGCTTGACAGCACGGATAGATAGAGAGCAAGCGACGCACCACTCCTTCGAGCCGATCACTACACTTAACAATATTTGCCGTTCTGCACTCCTAACGATCCCTCACTCGCGATGCAATTCCCCTCCCTACCGACCTAAATCGCTACACATACCTGCTCCCTCACCATGTCCAATAGGTACGGCGGCGCCTACCGCAATGGCAACGGATATGGCAACTTTGGCAGGCGCGAGGAGGACTACGACCCATACGGCGATGGATATTCAGGCAGCGACCGAGGAGGCGGCGGCGACCGATACGCCGTAGGGTCCCCGCCAGCGATGAACACCCGATCACCACCTACACTTCGAACCGGCGGGCCGCCGCCAGTCCGCAGCCGCGAGCGCATCCAGGAGACGAATGCGGAACGACAGATTGGCCAAGTCCTCGAGCGCGTCAAGGTGGAGTGGCCGGCAATGTGTCAGACCGACTGCGTACCCGTCCAGCTCGCCCTTCAGCTGCTCGATACCAGCTCCGTGGGCCGGGCGCACGACTACAACCAGTTCCGACAGACGCACGACTACCTTCAAAATTCCCTCAAGGGAATCGTTCACGAGCATCACCAGGGTTTCAACAGTTCGATTGGAACGTTCCACAAGATTCAAGGCAGCATCCAGGCCTCGCAGAAAAGAGTGCGCACGCTCAAGGACTCCCTGCTTACATCCAAGGTGAGCCTCTGCACGTCGGATCCGGACCTTAAAAAGCTCTCGGCTACGTCGCAGGCTTACGATGAGCTGCTTACCGTGCTCAACGAACTGGAGGAGCTGCGCCTTGTGCCGGATCAGCTGGAAGCCCGCATCTCCGAGAAGCGCTTCCTGAGCGCAGTCGAGGTGTTGCAGAACGCGCTGCGAAAGCTGCGGAAACCGGAGTTGGACGATATCGGCGCGCTGAGCGATCTGAGGGGCTATCTTGCCAACCAGGACATAGCGCTAATGGATATCTTGGTTGAGGAGCTTCATGAGCATCTATACCTAAAGTCGCCGTACTGTCAAGAGAGGTGGCAGAACCTAGCAAAGACTCAAGGCGCTCTCAAGGAGGGCAACTACGAATCGATCACCATCGCTCCCTTTCACCAAGTATTGGACGCCATGGACTTTGAAGCATCGGCGGCTGAGGACCCGGCTAAAAACCCGGAGGCCGATACATTCTCATATGTTTCTCTGCTCGTGGAGTCCCTTAACAAGCTGGGAAGACTGGAAACGGCCGTCGACACCCTGAAGCAGAGACTCCCCGTCGAGCTGTTTACCATTGTGAATGAGACGCTTAACGAGGTCGACCAACGGCATCCCAGCTCATTACGCGGCGGCTCCACCAATTCTCAAGGATTGCACATTTACGGCAGCCGAGAGACCCAAATGAGAGCAGACGTCATTTATGATCTGCTATGGACGCTTTTTGGCAAGTTCGAAGCTATTGCAGAGGGTCACCGTGTCTTCCACGAAGCGATCAAGGCCCTCATCCGACGTGAAGGCGCTGGAAACAACAGCGCCCTGCTAGGGAGCTTCAAGGAGCTCTGGAACCTCTACCAGAACGAAATTCGTTCTTTGCTGCACAACTACGTCACCACAGACGCCGACGTATACCAGTTTAGCACATCGCCGAAGCCTGGAGCCAATGCCAATGGCAAAAAGGACGCTGCTAGAGAGCACCTATTCAAGTTTTCCGAGGGCGATCCCAAGGCTGTGGACATGACGACGGAATACGAGGCTCTAGAAAGCATTATTCGATCTGCTGTTCCTGGCTTGACTGACACGTCTAGGAAAGCTGGAGCGGACAAAAAGAGACCAGCGCTTGAAGGCAGCACTAAGAGAGGCGGAGGAGCAACCGGATGGGAGAATAAGCAGACGACTGGTACATACAAGTCTCTGGTCGAGCCCAGCGTCTTTAATATGAGCTTGCTCCTCCCGCCTACCCTTGTTTTCCTCCAGCGTCTCAAGATGATTGTACCGCCGGGCTCGGATCTTGCCACGAGCACACTGACGTCTTTCTTGGATAACTTCCTGGTCAACGTCTTCCAGCCTCAACTGGATGAAACTCTCGGCAAGCTAAGCGATACTATCTTTGGCGAAGCTGACACTTTCTTGCAAGACCAGGAGTGGACTCAGGTTGCCAGACGCCCCGTATTCAAGGGCACAACGGCTTTCTTTGCCATTGTCACAGCGTTCTGCCGCATGCTGGGGACCATTCCTCATGATCAGGCTTTGAGCACACTCATCATCACCCAGATGATGAGGTATTACGACCGAGCTTTTGGATGGTACAAGTCCCTCGTGAGCAAAACCCAGGCGCAAGCAGACAAGCCCACAAAGCTTCGAATGTCGGCAGCGATGGCTTTGGAGGAGGGCGACGTCCAAGAAACCATAAAGCAACTTTGGACCTCTGATACACTAGAGCGCGAGCTTTTAGAAAAGGAAGTCGGTCTGCTCATTGTTCAGACCAACGAGAAGCGCATGGAGATGGCCGATATCATCCAGGACAAGGACACAATCTCATCTCTTTGTCTTTTGTACACAAGTATGAAGTGGCTCGCAGTCAAGATCTCAGGTCTGCGACACATTACTCGTAACGAATCCGACTCATCCCGCCCACATCTGAACCGAGGCTCGAGCAAGCGGTGGACACTCATGAACGACCCCAACAAGGCTACAAATGAGGATGGGCCTGTGTGTCTCCCAATGACACAGGAGACCGTACAGTAAGTTTTATCATGTCCTTGAAGCCTCCACCCCCCGCTCGCGCCTTACTGACGCAAACATCAGAGCCTTCGATGGAATCGTTGCGTCATTTGAAGAACTCGCCGGAACTGCGCTCCTGACCCTCCATATGGAGATCCGCTGCGAAATTATTTACTCCCTCCGCACTGCCCTCTCCACCGACACGGCCCCGTACCTCCTCGACCAAGAGGTCACGGAGCCGGATCCGCAAATCCTCAACCTCAACTCGGACCTGGTCCTTTACGACGAGACCATTGCGCGATACCTCCGCGCCAAGGAGACAGCCTTCATCCGCACCGGTCTGGGCCTGCTAATCAACGACTACCTCGTCACCAACGCCGCCTTCGTCTCGCCCATGAACGCAAAGGGGTGCGGCCGCATGCAGCTCAATATTTTGGTCCTGCAGCAGAACCTCAAAAACGTAGAGGAGGGCGTCGACCTGGCGCGCGCGTCAAACTATTTCGCCCTCTTTGACAAGGGACCCGACGCCATTGTGGAAAAGGCCAGTGAGGACAAGGACAAGGACGAACACGCGGACCCGTCTGACACGTTTAGCTACGAAGAGCTGAGGACGTTGCTGGAGCTGTGCTTTAGCGAGCAGCTCTCGAACCCCGAGCGGGGGATCGCGAGCGCCGCCAAAAGGCAGATGGCGGATAAGATGCTCGGGCTCAGCGAGCACATGTGGCAGACTTAGAAGCACCTTGGGCTTTACACTATCTCAAGAAGAAGAGAGAATCGAGTTGGTTCTACATGGATGATGATGATGTGCTGCTGGTTTATCACAACTTGCTGAGCTTTAGCTATGCTTGCACTTTGCGAGGCGTTTGGGAGAGGAACACAAACAAACAAGCAGAGAGAGGGGGGGCAGCGGTGTTGCTATCATCTGGACTTGATCCTGCCTCGTGGTCCAGTCCACCACGAGACTACGACCAGCAGACAAGAGATATCGCCACCATCACGGAGTATGGGGGAAGGCGTCCAACAGTCTTGTCAAATTTTGGGGGGGTATTATTCTTGTAGTCTATAGCTTTTTCAATGCCAGCAAACTTTTACCAACCACATGTACACAAAACACACGCACACAATTCATGATTCTTCCACGTCCTCTCTCTTTTTGTCATTCCCTTCAGCCACACCCACTCACACTCACAGTCACACTCACTCTACACCATGTCAGCACCACCGTCCCTCTCACGAAGAAGAAACGAGGTCTCTCCCCCTGTTGATCTGCACCTTCTTGTCCTCGCCACCGCTGACCAGACCCCACGTCTGGTCCCACGCGAGGCCAAACACCTTTGCGCCCTCGCCGCCCGCGGGCGCCTTCTTGCCCTTAAGCCACTCCCGCCCAATGGAGTAGACGGCCTCGCTGACGCTCCCGCCGCCCTCGTCCTTGGTGGCGGGCCTCACGCTCCGCAAGTCCCAGATCTTGACGGTGCCGTCGTGCGACGCCGACGCCAGGCTGTAGTCGTTGTCCGGGGACGGCGCGAGCGCTGAGACCATGTTGGTGTGACCCCGGAGCGTGAGTACCGAGGTCGCGGACGCCGAGGCGCGGGGGTCGAGGAGGGTAACGTGGCGGGCGGAGGAGCCCGCGGCCACGAGGGAGGAGTTACGGGGCATGGGCGCGAGGCAGAGGAGCGGGTGGAGGGTTGTGAGGGTGGAGACGACGCCGGCGGTGGTCAGGTCGAGGGTGCGAAGGGTGTGGTCCGCCGAGACGGAGTAGGCGACGGTGGCGTCGGTTGGGTGGAAGGCGGCGCCCGTGACTGAGGCGTCGGCGTGGGCCGGGATCATGGCCAGGGCGCCCTTTTGCGGGACGGTGACGGACGAGTTGGAGAGCTTTGCGCGCTTGACGCTGCTGGCGTGGGTGGCGGGGATGTCGTCGGCGTCGACATCCGGGCTGCCCTTCTTGGAGGCCAGCCAGAGGCCGACGCGGCCGTCGGCGGAGGCGGTGAGCATCTTCTTGGAGGGACCGTGGACGGCGAGCGAGTTGATCATTTTCCTGTGGCCATGGAGCTCGAGCGTGGGCTTGAGCTCGCCCGAGAAGCGATCGGCCGACTCGGCGTACTTCCATACGACGACCTTTTGGTCCAAGCCGACGGAGGCGATCTGCGTCGACGAGAGGAACTTGGCGTCCGTCAGGAGCTTGGCGTGGCCGCCGGCGCGGGCCGAGGGGGAGGTCGCGAGGCATTGGCCGGAGGCGTCCCAGACGCGGACAAGACCATCGTAGCCGGCGGAGAGGATGCGGTCATGGCCGTGGGCGAGGTCATCGCCGGACCAGCGGCCCGCTGCTGAGGTGGCGGAGAGGATGTCGACGGCAGCGACCCAGTCGTCGTGCTCAAAGGAGGCCTCGTAGACCGGGGGCAGCAGACTGCGGACGTACTGCAGGGTGAGCGTCGTCTCGAAGGAGAGACCATTCTCCTTTAGGTATTCTTCAATCGTGGTCCGCAGATAGGTTCCGTTAACGAGGAAGTCGAGGGGGACGGGGGACGAGGTGTTGAGCATGGACTCGGAGTTTAATATCCTTGAGAGGCCATACCGTTTGATATCTGTTGACGGGTTGCAAACAATTAGTTTCCGGAAGCCATTGGGTGAGGACATTCGGCTGTGAGCGTACCTGCAGGCACAAGCAACTGCCTCTTGCTCTCGTCCAACTGAAGATCCTCATGCGTTGTCGTGAAGTTGACCTTCACCTGGGCCACCAAGGACTCCATTGCGACGACTGAGTAGAATCTTTTTTGCGATAGACTCGGAGCTTCCGTGCACTGTTGGGGAATTTGACTCGAAGTTCGTGGATCCCGAATGGCTAAAGTGCTACGTGCCCTGTGAGAAGCGGCAAGTTCGAGGAGTGCTGTGCTTGGTTCGACTGGCTTCCAGTTTGTTGGAAATTGCTGATTGAAAACCACGACCAGACGGGGCACCTAAATTTTTTTGAAGCTTGATGTCAGCCTTGCAGGAACCTTTCACCCCGTCGAGCTAGGCCTGTCCAATCATGGCTCCAGCGCAAAAAGGGACTGCCGCTAGAGTCCCTAGGCTGAACCATGCCCCGCACCCGCTCATTTCCCGATGCGTGGGCTTGATACTTGCTGCTAACCAATCCTAAATAACCAACTTCTGGGCAAGCCTGCCCGCCAACGCACCCAACGGGGCAGTTTGAAGTTGATGGACTTGCCTGCTGTCTGTGTCATTCATTCGCATACTAAGATTGACCGAAGTGGCCTGGTTCCTGAGAGAAACCTGTGAGTCTGTATTGAGCTATTGAGATCGGAACCATGATCTCATATCCACCAGAGCCTTCGCCTGGGCCATTCCCAAACCATGAACCGTTTTGTAGTAATCACATACACTGAAGAGCACGCTGCCTGGAAAATGAATGACAAGTCCGCCACGTCAGCGTCGGTCGGGCAGGCTTCAGGCGGCATCGTCAGGCGCGGCTTGCTCTTTGTTAGCCTCCAAAATGAATGCCTCCTCAATGGCAGACCTTCGGCGGAACACCCTCAACCATCGCTCGCCCCAGCGGCGTAGCAGGGCATCGCGTTGACCGGCACCGTCGATTTCCTCCATCATCTCATCCTTGCTGCCGGAGGCCCAGCTAACGAGCGCATCCTCCATCGCTTTGAAGAGATCGCGCATCGCCTTGGTCTCTCTCTCCTTTGCATCCTCATCAGCTTCGGCTTCCTTCGTCAGAAGCTGTCTGACCCGGCCAGTCACCTTTGACACAGTCCCAAACACCAGCTCGAAGACGTGAGGCTGCCCCAAAGAGTCACCCGAAGACTGTCCCGGCACGTGACTGCCTCCCGCGAGAGCCCACTCAATAACCGAAATGGGCAAAAGGATTGAGTAATTCAGGAGTTTCTCGACGATTGAGATCGCAACGCCGGGCTGTGCCGCCCAGTATGACATGACTGCGGTGATGATTTGGGCCTTAGCCGCCTCAGATGCCGCGCCAACATCGAGCAGACGATCCTTGGTGCGCTCGATACACGCAAGCACGTGGCTAAGCGACTTGGAGCCAACCCAGCAAACGGCTGTGACAAAGACATCGGTGCTTGTCACCAAAGGATCCAAACTGCGCTCTATCGCAAGCGAATGAATCCGTTCGATGATCGGCTGGAACTCTTCGTCAGGTGCTTTACGTCTCAGCAGCGCAGCAATTTCCCGTCCCTCTGCAGAAAATGGTGTACCTATCGCACTTGTCAGCTTATTAGACTAGACTGGTCGCGGCACGTTACCTACTCTCATCATTGAACTTGAAATCCGGAACATCTTTTTCCTTCTCGGGCCCAATCAGGGATTGGTATGGCTCGGGCAGTGTGCCCTTGATACGCTGAGCGAAACTGAGCCGGATTTCCTTGTCCAAGGCCCCGATGATGAATGCCTTCTGAGGGTGGAGGTCAGGCAGGTATACGTCATCCACCCACTCCGTCCACTTCCAGGTGAAGCCAAAGTTGCTCAAATGATGCGAGAACCAGTCAACGAACCTCTGAGAGAGCTCGATGTCGATTCGGCTAGAGTTGCGATACATGTGCCGGATTGCTCGACCCAAGCTGGGGGCGATAGCCGCAGGTGCAATCTTGCAGGCCTCGGTGAGGACTGAATGGTAGTAGACAAGTTTGTGCTCCGGGGCGGGAAGCTGGAAGAGTTGCGAAAACACGGCATCAACCGCTACATCCTCAGGTTTCCATGTGGAGCGGCCGGTTTCAACGTCTCGGAGTCTGTCAAATGGAGTCGCACGCTTGACAAAAGTTGAGTCGGAGAAGTAGCAGTCTAGGTCAATGAGATACCGCGCAGTCACGTTGCGGTTGAAGTCGAGAATGTTGATCGTATCAACCAAGCCATCTCTGACCAACGATGCAGCAATTTCCGTGACAGGCGGCACAGATTCGACGTCTTGAGTGCTGTAAACCGAATAATAGACTTCGGGGAACAGCGGTCTGGATCCAGCGATGATCTTCTCGGGAACTGTGATGGTAGGGAGAATGTGCTTCGTAGCATTATCCAGCTTCTCCTGTGCTTCAATCTCCTCCAGGGGTAGCTTCCAGGGCCTGGGAAGGCAAGACAGCTCCCAGCCGTTTGCCGCTTCATGCTGCAGTTGCTTCTGGAGCATGCCGATAAAGCTCATGGAACCAGTGGGCTCGTCTTGCTTCTCGGGAAGGTATGGATCGATCAGCGCTTGCAGGGCGTGAGGCTCCGAGGCAATGATTTCGGTTTTGTCCATCAGGTCGGCGGCCTTTTGCTGCCATTGATCGGGTGCTGCTGACATGATGTACGGAATCGTGAGAAGAATGATCTTCACAAGTTCGGTGCCAATTGTCTGCAAGCTTGTTAGGAATTGGGGGCGACCAACGTGTCAAAGGGACATGGGATGCCTACGTCATCTGAGCTCGCGGTTTGCAAGTCTACTGCTCGGCTGAACAGTTCCTCGAGAACGGGGAAAATTCCCTCGCCATCCAGAGAGCTCTGCAGGCATGCAAGCAATTTGAGATAGAGCTTCACATCTCTCCATTCGCCAGCTTGAATCTTCTCTTGGGTGGCAGCGCTCAACTTAGTGAGAACCTCGTCCACTATCTCAGGCTTGAGCGTGTTCACCAGAAGAATCACACCAGCGACGAATGGTGTCTTGAGCGGTTGTTCTAATGAAAGCTGTAAGACGAGGCCGATGAAGCTCTCGCGGAGCTCTGAGTCCTCTGCATTGTCGGCAATAACGTGCGCGATGCCTTGAACCTCTTCGTGCCAGCGTCGGAGCGGGGATTCGGCGAGAGAGAGGAGTTGTCTACGAACTCTCACGGGGAGAGGTGCGGTATCGATTCTTCGTCGCGACTGTCGGTGATCGTTGTCATCGTCGTCTAATGCGACCAGAGTCAGTTGATGGGCTTGCGCTGAAACAAGGACAGGGCGCACGACGGAAAGAAAAGCTTACCTCGATACCTTCTCTTTCTGTTGTTGTAGCCGCCGCCGCCGCCACCACCACCATGATGACGCCTTCTCTCGTAGTCGCCCATGTCAATCGGCTGCGTAATTGACAATTAGGCAAGGTTTATTGGGGGGGGAATGTGTATGAGTAGGTCAATGGGTAGACCGGGGCAAAGCTCCTTTAAGTTGCACGTAGCCTCGACTCGCGAGGCAGGGTCCACGTCGAAAAGTGATAAGGTAAGGGAAAGACGCGAGCTTCCCCTGCTAGCACCTGTAAGGTATAGGTAGGCCATGTCGATTGGCCCCAGCGGCCCCTGCCTGTGAAGGTATCCGGCGCAATATGGCCTGAGGCAGAACATATTTCCCACACAGAGGCACAAAGAACCTGCCTGCCCCCCGCCTCACTTACACGATGTACCTCCAGGTCCCCAGAGTCGATACACATTACAGCCAAACGATTTCAGGAGCTCATTGACAATTTTTACATCGGGCTGTCAGGGCTCGGCCATCGTCATCCTCTTAAATCATAATCCCGTCGGTCAAGGAGGCGGTGTCCCTGAGCAAGGAATGAGAAATAGAGTCGATTGCCTCGCAGTTATCCTGCTCGGCCACTCCAAGCCAGATTCATAACAGCAGTCTTTCCCAATGTCTGAGCAAAGTAGCCAGTCCCGACCCTTTTAATTGACCTCCTTGGCTCGCCATCGTTGCGTTGCCATGAATAAACAGAGAAAGCTAAAATCTTTTCCTCGGAATCATGCCTAATACCAATCCAGACCTTCCGCCCACACCTCCCAACCAACGGGAGAGGGCATCCCGACTCCGGAGCTTCCTCCTTTCTCCACCAACAACCGTATGAGGGTTCAACCCCGCAATCGTCCGTAGTATCTTCCACACACTTCCGAGTTCTGATGATCGAGGAAGTCTCGCCAGACCATACTGAATGACGAAAAGACGAAGAAAGGTTAGGCCGAACCGTCCAGACAATCGATTGCCAAAAGGGTTCAGAAGCGTTTTTGGTAACAAGGTGAAGAACAAAGTGAAAGCCATCCCCAGTCCTGTCGTAAGAAGGTCTAGAATGGCGTCTTTTGCGATACGCAGCAAGGCAGCCTTCCATGAAAAGGCGGCGATGTACTGCAGAATCCGTAGGCATGCCTCGATAGGCCAGTTCTTGCCATGCCTCCTTCACGCCTTAGTAGAAGAGCTAACACTTGGCGAAGCATGGGACACCTCGAACATCCTCGCCAGTGAGCCTTTGCGCTTTGAGCATTCGAGGCAGCTCAGCTTCCAGTCATTGCACATTCAACATCTTATCATCATCTGGTCCGTCATCGGGTCGAGGCCGATGCCCCTACGCTTCATGTATGAAGTCCATCTCGGTGTATGCTGGTCGAACGGTAGGCTTGCGGCCGAAATAGGTCGGGAACGATCCATGAGTGCGCTGAGTTCCTGGACAAGTCCCCGGCTGGCTCAATCCAATTTGGCCATCATGTCGGCCTTTGGAATTGGAGTAAAGTTGTCAATGTCCAATCCCCTTCCTGCGAGTACGGGCTTGATGTGCGCGGGCACCAGCTGGTGGTTCAGGTTCGGGGCAATTGACAATTCTGTCAAGATTGTTAGATAGGGGGACGCCATACGAAGTTGAATAGAACACTTACCATGGCGAGTGAAGTCGAACAGAGGCGGCAGATCCCGAATTTCGCCGCTCTGGTGTCGAGAGTCGGGCAATCTTGTATTCGGATCTCTCAGCTCATCAAAGAAGGGATGAACCATGGCTTCCACCGCTGCTTGTCTCTCGGTAGGTGTGTACTCAAGAAGACGAGCGATCAAGTCGATGGCGTTTGCATCAGCCTTCCTAAAGACCTTAGCGAAGGGATGCGGCTTGATCTGTGGGAATTTGTGTTCCATATAGTTGGGGTTCATCGTGCGAATCTGCTCTCGTGTTGGCGTGCCCAGGACCTTGATGATCTCGACTAGTTGATCAATGCCCGACTCTCCAGGGAAGAGAGGCTGTCCGAGCATCAATTCTGCCATGACACAACCGGTGGACCATACGTCTGTCATAAAATATTAGAATGGGAGTCTTTCTCGACGTTGATCAACTTACCAATCTTGGTGGTGTAGTTTGTGGCACCAAAAATCAGTTCTGGCGCACGGTAGTATCGAGAGCAGATATACGACACATTTGGCTCGTTTTCGACCAAGATCTTGGCGCTACCGAAATCGCAAAGCTTCAAGATGCCTGAAGTAGGGTCTAGGAGAAGATTTTGAGGCTTGATATCGCGATGGCAGATGCCCTGCGAGTGGATGTAGGCGAGAGCGCGGAAGAGCTGGTAGATGTAAAGCTTGACCTCGAGAATGGGCATTGTGGTCTTCATCTTGTTGAAGAAGCGGGACGCACGGTAGACGGTCTCGGGCACAAACTCCTGGACAAGGTTGAGATACACCTCGTCTTTCTAGTTCGCGTCAGCAAATATTTGCAAACAAGCTAAGGACTACACTTACGCGTTCGCCATTGGAATAGTAAAAGGCCTTCAGCTGTACAATATTGGGATGCCGGACAATCCGCATAATTTGCAGTTCTCGGTTCTTTTGTCACAATCAGCATGCCGCAGCGAAAGATGGTCGGCAGGGAGAGGCGCGGACCTTGAACCTCTTGTCCTGGAGGACACGCTTAATAGCCGCATCTTCTCCTGAAGGCGAGAGCTTGGTCTGGAAGACAACACCAAAAGAGCCGTTGCCCACAATCTTGCATTGCGTATACTGGAGATCTCTCGTCTCTCCAGTGATTCCATCTTGGACCTTCTCGCGAATAACCTCTGGCGGTCACGTCAGCATTGCAAGGCAAAGAATTGTTTTCGAATTGGCCAAAGCTTACCTCCCATCCTGAGAGTGTTGAAGGCGGCGGGGCGATTCTGCGCCATGGCTCGGAAGGTGTTGTCAGCACGGCAACGCCCTGCTATTGTTGGCCGGTGTTGGGCGAGTTGAGGTCGAGAGGAGTGAGGGGTAACAGATCCGAGACTCGAAGGCGGGCCGTGATGGGCAGCAGAGGACGGGAACTACGCTTCGCTGGGGTGGGATTCGTGCAAGGATAATTGCACGAGATTGAAGTAAGAAGCCGACGAACCAATTGCTTGTTCCAAGAGCCCAAGAAACAAGTGCAGGTGCGGTCGCGAGGCAGGTTGTAATTGAGAGCGGCGCCGGTAGCGGGTTCGTGTCGGGGATCGTTGGAGTCTTTTTCCGCTAGGGGAGATGTGTTGTTGTTTTAGGGTCAACGATGAGCAACCTCCAAGGAGCTGCTGATTGTAGTCATTAGCAGGCCGTCTGGCAGTTAAGGAATTTGAACAAGTTGATCGTGGTTGATAGGTTGAAGATGAGCAGGGTACTGGGCGTGTTGTGCAACGAGCAGTAATGAGCGAGGATGACGGACGGTCAAGGGGTGCGGGGTGGGGAGGTATTTTGACAGGGAGAGGGAGAAAATGGCAGGGCAGGGGAATATGAATGATGGCGACGATGCAAGACGAATGGTGGCAAGTCGATGAGTAGAAGAAGCGGAAGTATTGGCAAGGTAGGCAAGGTGGTACCCAGAGGAGGAGGAGGACAGAGTAGGCCAGGACAGGACAAGTTTAGGACAAGACAGACAGGACAGAGGATAGGAAGGGGGTGGGCAGTGTGTATATGCGCTGCGCTATGCATGCAGCACGTAGTGAGGTGATTTTTCGCTCAGGCGGAGGGGAAATGCCAGGTACGTGCAGGCCGGTAGTGCGAGGCAGCTACAAACAGCTTACGCGGGAAAATAAGGTCCCAACAGAGCAAAGACCACTTCTCTCGCGTGTATCCGTAGGTGAGTTGCTGATGACAGGCCGAGTAACAGGGCAAGATTCGGCGGATTGTGGTGTCGTCAAGGCGGGTGGTAAGAAGGGGGAAGTGGACTAGGAAGGGGGAATGTGGTGATGACGGCACAGCACGCCGCTGAGGGGCAGGGCAGGCGGACCAAGCAAGCTCAAGGATCGTGGTGTTTCTGCCGCTTGGGACACGAATAAGGAAGAATTGGATGAGGAGCCAGCTAGGATAAGAAAGGCAACAATTGCTTACAATAACTGGAAATTGTCGACGAAGGCGGGATTGCAGGAAGACAGGAGACGGCAAATTGAACCTGTCTCGTTTCGTGGTGCTCAAAGAGTAGGTAGGTGGTAGTGGCAGTCGGCGGCTACAGGTAAGGGCGTAGGTTGCGAGAGGGAAATGGAGCAGAGGCGATGACTGCCCTGGGTAACTTGGTTGGGGTTGGTGATTGGTGGTTGGTGGGTGGGTGGGCACACAGGAGACAGTGCTTCTCCGGATGGCGAAGAAGGATCGTGAGGTTTGGAACCGAAGTCGTTGCGAGGACCTGGACAGAAAGATCCAAGGCGTATGATGGAGACAGACTGCTTTCTGGCGGCGGGGAACTTGGCGCGAGGTATCTGGGAGACGACGAAAGTCGAGGGCAAATGCCACTTGAAAGTGAGGAGAGGAAGAGCGATCGATGCACGGGGGGGACTCGGGGGAGAGGTGTGGTGAAGTCCAGGTTGGGTACCCGAAAGGTGGGAGAAGAAGGATGTTGTCACGCCGTTTAGAGAAGCGCGAGGTGTGTTGGCTGGTGGGAAGGATGGCGGACGGCGGGTGGAGAGACGTGGATGAAGTAGGCCAGGTAGGGGAGAGGTAGGGAGGTACTTTGAAAGAGGGGCAGCCTAGGTAGGGTGGATGGATTGTGCGTCTTGTTCCTTGGGCTTGAGCCTTGAGGCCTCGCGGACCACACGGCAGGGCAGACTAGCGCGCGCAGCTGGACGAGGAATGACGGAGTGCGTCCCAAGTCCAGTGACTGAACAGGGGGGGTGGCCTACCTGAGGTAGGTATTTGTACGAGAGGGGAAAATCAATAAAAAAACAATGCGCCAGAAAACGCAAAGGGCAAAAGAATTAACGACGTCGCTGCTGCTGCTGCTGCTGCTTGCCGCAACTAGTGCGACTCTGTTGGAATACGACAATTCGACCAAGTCGACACTTGAAGATTCCATTCATCCTTTCAATCAAGTCATACACGATTAGAGGTTCCTCTAGATGAATCTTGTATAGGCTCTTGTCCTCGGCTTTTCTTCTATTGATCCATCGTCTTCTCCTTGCCCTCATCTCTCCGATCATTCTTCGCCTGGTGCCTGAGTTGCATGCAATTCTAGAATCAAATAGAGCACGGGATTTGACACTGTCAAGGTCGGCGATGATCACCCGAAAGAATGGGGAAAAGAAGAAAGAGAAGAAGAAAAAGAAGGCAGGCCAATCGGCATGAGGTGATGAGGTCTATAGATTCGCCGAGTTGATGCAGAGCTTCCTCAAGGTGAGCAGGCCACGCGGGGTCCAGTGAGGGGCGGCGGAGGTCTCAAGGACATCAAGCAAGGTCGGCCGGCGCGCCGTGCTCGAGGTGCCGGAAAGTATGGAGGTTCTCACCTCAAGCTCGAGTGCGGTTCGGGCAGAGTGTCGTTTGGTATCGATGAGGTGCCGTGATAAGGTAGCTTTCAAAGTTTGATGCTGTGTTTTGTTGCGTTGCAGTGCCAGATGGTATGATTTTGTCGAGTCTCAACTCAGGTCAAACCTTGACATGATGCACGCCACGTTGATTTTGCTTAGGATGGAAACAACCGTAGAATGGCCGGAAAGCCAAGTTTGTGCAACAACTCAGGCAATGTGTACTAGGCACGAGAAGTTACAGCAATGATGGCCAGCTGCAACGAGGCCAAGCAAGCAGCTGTTAAGCAACCCAAGTCACTCTAGAGACTGGCGGCGACGATTTCCATCTACCTAAGGTGATCTAAAGTGGCCTACGTTAGGTGGTTTGGTACCCAAGTTGATCGAGCCAGTGGCACTGCTCAACACTGACAGCAGAGTTATCGGCCTAAGTTGATAAATCTCCCCACGCCGGGTAGATAAATCCCTGGATCTTTCTTGCCTTGTGCTGCATGCATCTTGACTTCTTGAGAGACTCGAGCAGTCCAGACTCAGAGAGCTCTGGTGAGGTGGTGACCAAGCACCGGCGGGACGCGCAGTTCGAGTGGTTCCAGGTTAGCCTTTCATCGTCGTCCCCTCGTCGCCTCCAGACAAGGACCCGCTGCACCAGGCTTGC